AGCCATCCCTCACATGAATCGTTCCAAGAATTTGAGTCGATTTGGAGACACATCCCCCCTGGGTGAAGCTTTTGATTGTGGAGATGCCCAGCTCCAACAGGTAGCTAGCAAGCTGGCAGGTTTTTCCCCAATCAGAGCTTGCCTCTGTAGGGGCCCTAGCGGATTCAGATGATTAGGTTAGCGTGGCCGCCGATTTTCGCTGCACGCCCGGGTGCCCGGGAGGTGCCCGGGGGGGCCCGGGTGCCCGGGTGCCCGGGCGTGCCCGGGGGTGCCTGGGGGTGCCCTATAGCCCTATAGCCCAATAGCCCTACAACTCTATAGCCCTATAGCTCTATAGCCCTATAGCTCAATAACCCTATAGCCCTACAACCCCCTAGCCCTATAGCCCAGATGGTTTTGTTTCTCCGGTATCATTTGAAAACCACTCATGCGATTGTGCGCAGGCGAATCCGCCACGATCGGCTTAAGCTGCTGCAGGAGCTTGGAGAAAAACTCAAGCAAAACATAACAAACCATATGTGTAGGGAGGAATGGGGTCACGTTAGAAGCCTATGAGGTTTGAGGGAGCGAAGGGCAAGTATTCCCAATCAGGCCTGCCAGTGCACATGTAATCGAAGGGCAAGTTTTAGTTGATGACAATCGAGTCGCATATGGCAAGTTAGATAGATTCGCGCGTGCAGAGCTTGCTTCAGCCGAAGCCAAGACGCAGTTGCAGCAGCGTTACACTGAGCGTATCACCAAAGTGCGGCTGTCGCCCGTCCAGGATCCCCAATGCATCATGTCCCGAAGCAGTCTCGAACGGAGTTGCAAGAGAGCCAAGACAGGAAAAGCAATTGGGCCAGACAAGCTAGGATATGAGCTGTTCAAATGTGTTGCTGAGCAGGCTGCACAGCATTGGAACCCACTTTTCGTTAAGATGCAGTTGAATGGTATCGAACCACTAGACATGAAAGGAGGATGGGCTGTGGCTTTGCCTAAGCCAGGTCTCGGCAATAGGTATCGCAACAATTTGTGTGAGATCCTTGTAGCTGACCACATTGCTAAACACCACTTCAAGTTTCTTCGCTCAGGGCTGGTCAAACTCATGTATGATTTGCAATGCGGAGGAATGCCCCAGAGAAGTATTGTTTTTTCTTCACATATGACACGCGCATTCATAAATTTGTGTAGACATGCGAAGATAACAAACATCGTTTTCTCTGATATCAAATCGGCATTCCACGCTGTGCTCCGGAAATTGTTGCTGCGGCAGTCCATGCTATGGACCTCCCACCATCGCTCAGCCAGGCCTTCACGCAGATGCTTTGAGAGGGTCCCTTTTTAGACATGCTTGGACAACACCGACGTGACGTCCCCCTTCCCCACTTCAAAAAGCAGTTGGCCGAGAGCCAATATGACACGCGGTTTGGAGTCCAGGGGGCCGAAAACGTTGCGTATGCCACGACTGGCACGAGGCCAGGCTCACCGCCAGTTGACATGTTAATCTCATTAGCTTTTGCCCCAGTGCACGCTGCAGTGACAGAAAAGATGAACGAGGAAGATCTCATGGTCACGACGCAAGAGATAGGCGAAGATATGGAGCCTTTCTTTGCACCAGGACAAGCAGTGACTCTGGCAGAAGGATGTCGTATGTAGACGGCCTCACATCGTTCGCAGGAGCTCGAGGGGCCAGCCAGTGGAAGTATGTCGCACAAAGGACGATATGCATAGTATACGAAGAGCTAGCCACTAGAGGGTTTAAGCTTAACTTTTAAACAGGAAAAGCAGATATCATGATACTACCGGCGGGACCCAAGGCTACCCATACTAGGAACGACCTCGAGGCGTTAGGAAAGTACTTGCAAGTTCCTGAGCATGATTTGTATGCGCACATCGTCACACGATATAAGCATGTTGGAGCTATGGTCTGCAGCGATGGAGACATGCGTCCACAGGTTGCTACAGAGGGCAGGCACAAGCAGGAGCCGTTGAACCTTTGCGGGCCCAGGTTTTTTAAGGTTGAAGGCCTTGAAACCAAGAAGGGGCTACAATATGCCACGTCTTTTTGCTCCAGCCGCCTATGTTTTACAATGCACATGTGTTGTCGCCGCTGGACGTCACGACGAAAAAGTTGTTGGCAGGAAAATGCATGTCAGTTGTGCGAGCGGCGACAGGGAAGGCGTATGATTACGCCAGCCAAAAAAATGGCTTGCGATGTGGACGTGTACGCTTCTCGGCAGGTACTCCCCGCTTCCGATATCATTCGTGTCCGCAGGCTACGTTACCTGCCCAAACTGCTCAAGACAGCCCCCCATGCATTAGTTTGGATGTTCGATCTTCTAGTTCAAGCTGAGGGTTCTTGGGCCCAGGCTCTCACTGAAGACCTCCAGTGGATGGCCTCTGTCGTTAAGGTCACAGATTGGCTCCAGCCCGAAGGTGATGCTAAATGGTGGATAGCTCTCGTCAGAAACGACTTGCCATCATGGAAAGCTTGTTGCACGGCCCTTTGTAAGGGCAGCAGTCAATGTCCATTTAGATAAACAACAATGTAACCAATGGCACAAAGAGCTACACGCGATCTGTCGGCAAGCAGCGTTCGAACGCCCATCATGTTTAGAGCAATTCGAAACCACATGCCTCTTTCCTTGCCACGACAATGGCGCGGTGCTCAAGACCATAGGTGCATGGCACCACCACCGCACTGTCCGCCACCCCGCGCTGGACGCGGCAGGGAGCGTGGCGGAAGGCTCACAGTGTCAATCGTGCGGTAAGGAGTTGTTCACCAACATTCGACTGCTAAAGCATCTGAGGCACGGTTCCTCGAACTGCTTAGCAGTACTCCAGGCGCATTTCTCGCGAGCATGCGAGCAGGATATTCTCAGAAGAAGGGCCGAAAAGAACGAGACGGCCAAGGACATGAGAAGCCTTGGCTTACGAACAGATTTTTCAGAATTTGGTGCTATGCGTTTGATCGGACCCACGCTTGAGGGATCCGTGCAAGATCGTACTGTGCACCCGTCCTGCAAAAGAATTGAGACGCAACTCGAAGAAGATCTGGCACCCGTTATTTCTAGAATGCCTTCGGCAGTCCGATATATAGCGTGTTTGTTTGATGACACTCCATGTTGGGACGCATTAGTCTCAAAGATGTCTACTGTTAATTCGGAGATTTCATATAATGTGGTTCCTATTCATGTTGACGTGATAGGTTTAACAAAGCCCGAGGAACAAGGAACTATTGCATAGAATTCGTTCCAGAGAAGTTGTAGCTGTATGCGCGCAATCATCGTATAAATCTTGGGGTGTTCCAAACGAGCGCTACGATATAATTTCCTCGACGATTCATGGATCAGACCAATTTGTCTGGGGCACTCCGTGGTTACCCAAACGTTTTCAGGATGTGATATGTGCCGGCAACGCAAAGATCCGTCCATCAGTGTTGCTTTCATGTGTGCCGTGCACATGTGTTCTTGTTTCGTGTGCATGCCAAGTGTATCGTCAGCCACACTGCCGTCCCAGGTTCCTGAGTTAGAGGCGCTAATGCAATTCAACGACGTCCGAGGATGTCGTCTGGATCGGGCACCTCGCACAGACGAGGGGACTCTGCATACCGCCCCGCGGGATAGTGGTGGGGTGGGTATCATCAGGGGGGAGGATTCGGCGTCGAGCATTTCTCTCTCTCTCTCTCTCTTTCACACTGTGCATGGTGTTGTTAGTGTGGTCACCTGATCTCTAGCGCTGGGGAACAGGGAGGAGGGGAAGAGGACGAGGAGGAGGAGGGGGAGGGGGAAGGGGAGGGGAGGAGGAGGAGAGGGAGGGAGGAGGAGGAGGGAGGAGGAGGAGGAGGAGGAGGAGGAGGAGGAGGAGGAGGAGGAGGAGGAGGAGGAGGAGGAGGAGGAGGAGGAGGAGGAGGAGGAGGAGGAGGAGGAGGAGGAGGAGGAGGAGGAGGAGGAGGAGGAGGAGGAGGAGGAGGAGGAGGAGGAGGAGAGGAGGGAGGAGGAGGAGGAAGGGGAGGAGGAGGAGGTCCGAGCACGGGCAGGCCGAGCCCCCGTCAGCAGGCCCCGGCCCCCGAACCCCTGGAGGAGCAACGGGAGGCAGCCCCTGGGAGCCACGGGAGGAGGCCCCACAGGAGGCGGCCACCGAGGCAGAGTCGGAGCGCCAGGGGGCGGCGGGAGCCTCCCCCGGGGAGGCGTCCGGATCGAGAGGAGATCCAGGAGGGAGTGTCCTGCCAAAGGGCCTCCTCCTCCTCCTCCTCCTCCCCTCCTCCTCCCTCCTCCCTCCTCCTCCTCCTCCCTCCTCCTCCTCCTCCTCCTCCTCCTCTCCTCTCCTCCTCCTCCTCCTCCTCCTCCTCCTCCGCCTCCTCCTCCTCCTCCTTCGTCCTCCTCTGCAAGGGGCCTCCCCTTTTTCCCTCGGCAGAGGTAGCAATCTTCGTCGACGTGAGAGGCTGAATGGGGAAGGTCCTGCTGGGCGGGACGACATCGGCGGGAAGTAAAACGGAAGACAAAACTGCACCACAGCGCGCTCATGTTCAAGCTCAGTCTTCCTGGACCTCCGAATTTTCGACCCTTCTCCTCTCCCTCCACCCCTACCCCTCCTCTTCCTTCTCATTCCTCCCCCCACCTCACTCTTCCCCACCCCTCTCGCCTTTCCCCTCCTCCTCCTCCTCCTCCTCCTCCTCCTCCTCAGCCCCCTCCTATTTCCAACGACGGCAACGAATACCTCCGAGACGACACCGACCTCGACGATGACGACGACACTGCATCCTGTAGAGGAAGAAAAACACATAAACATAAACTTTCGACGCTCCGCGCGGATATCTCGGATCCGCGCTGGACCCCGCGCCAGGGGCGGCGCCGGAGGCGCCGCTGGGGGGGCCCAGGGGCGGATCGAAGAAATCCGCGCGTAGTGCCAACAAGTGTATGTTTATGGTGTTTTTTCTTCTTCTTCCGACTTCTGGCGCGGATGTCCACTGGGGGGCCTCGGCAAGGCCGCGCGCCGCGCGCCGCACGCCGCGCGGGCGCCTTCAGCCGCTCGGAGAGGCCGAGCTTCGACAGCGCCGCCGCGGCCTTGGGCCGCTGGGCGTCGTCGTCGTCGTCGTCGTCGTCGTCGTCGTCGTCATCCCTCCTCCTCCTCCTCCTCCGCCTCCTCCTCCTCCTCCTCCTCCGCCTCCTCCTCCTCCTCCTGCTCCTCGGCCTCCTCCTCCTCCTCTTCCTCCTCCCTGTCCTCTCCTCCTCCTCCTCTTCCTCCTCCTCCTCCCTGTACTCTCTACTCCTCCCTGTCCTCTCTGCTCCTCCCTGTCCTCTCTGCTCCTCCTCCTCTCTGCTCCTCCTCCATCCTGCTCCTCCAGCTACGCCTCCTCTTCTCTGCTCCTCCCTCCTCCTCCTACTCCTCCTCCTGACCGAATCCCTCCTTATCTTCTTTCCTTCCTTTCCCATTCTCCCTCCTCCCGCTTGTGGTCCCTGCTCCACGTTCATCCTGCTCCCTCCTCGTCGTGCCCCTGCGCGCGAGATAGCCGCAGGAGCAGGGAACGCCTTGGCCACTCGAGGGGGCAACCGGCTTGGTACGCCAATCTGGACTTGCAGGAAAGATGACAAACAGAGAATACCGCCGACGCTGTCGGCGTGCGGGAGACGCTGTCGTCGCCGCCGTCGTCGTCGTCGTCGCCGTCCTCGCCGCTCCCGCCCGTTTCCTTGGACCTTCCTCTTCAACCGCCAGCCGCAAGGAAATGGAGGAAAGTCGTAGTTCAGTCGAAGGGAAGCCTCTTTCCTTCGATCCCTTCCCCGCCGGGGTGGGTGTCCTGGGGTGGGGTGGGTTGGGGGTGGGGTGGGCGGGTGGGGGGAGGTGGTGGGGGTCCTGGGTCAGAATGCCCTCCCCTCGTCGGCGTCGTTCAGGGTCGGCGGCACCAAGGGATCATACATATGAGTGGCATACACGGAGTATGTGTGGGGAGATGCATCGAATCACATTCTGACTAAACGCATGTGTTAAAACGCGCCACCGAGACGCAAGGCCACATGGTTTGTTACATAGATATGGTTTTAAGGACACATCAGCTAGAATATTGTTGGGACCTTCAAACTATGTGCATGCTGTAACGTCTCTGCAACTGTTATGTATTAAACGCCCGTTTGACAGTTCGTTCAACACTCACCGTGGTCGCGGTCATTACCATCATCACTCACCATCAACGTGGCAGTCAGGGAGCGCGCGCGCGAAGACGTGGTGGGCGCTGTGCGCGGCGTGCGATGTGTGCCTGTGTGTTTGTGTGTGTGTGTATGTGTGTGTGTGTGTGTGCGTCGCGAGAGTGGAACAAGAAGGAGTGGGGCGAAGGGGACGACCAGGAGGGTGAAACTGCTCAGAAAAAGCGACGGCGGGGGCGACGTGGCAAACAGGGTGGGGCGCGCTCGAGGACGTGGACGCGTACGTGGTGTGTGTGTGTGTGTGTGTGTGTGTGTGTGTGTGGGTGGCGTGCGTTGTGTGCGATGTTGACGCTGTGCGCGGAGTGCTGTGTTTGCGTGTACTGTAGCACTGTTTCGAACTTGATTCTTGATTCGCCCGCGTGGCTCGTCGCCCCGCAACAACAAGTGTGTGTGTGTATGTGTGTGTGTGTGTGTGTGTGCGTGTGTGTGTGTGTGTGTGTGTGTGTGTGTGTGTGTGTGCGTGCGTGTCCTTGTTGCCGCCTACGCGAGGTTCTCTGGAGGTCAAAGATCAGCCACGCTGCTTCACTATGGAACTAATCCCACCAACCCTGTGGGCGTTGGAGGTTTAGGGAGAGTGCTTCCAAGCTCCTCTTTCCCTTCGGGAAGAGGTTTATCTTTCCCCCTGCCCCCTCTCGCTGGGTCTCGGGTCCAGTCGCGAGGGGTCAAACTGTCCAACATTGCCTCCACAATCGCACAATACATGCCTAGATGATTAACGATAGCTTCCAGCATGCCTCTAAGACGTGGCCGTATCCTGCGACCGTATTCTAGCGAATCCAACCACCGGAGGTTGCTGGCTGACAAGTGCCGCTCTAAATTCATCGAGTCTGGTATCCCCGTGGGTACACATGCTTACAGTCGCGGCGACAAGACAAGCGTGATCTCAATCATGGTTTACTCATCCAGCCTCACCGCCAGATGACTTGAACCAACTCGCGCCCTCGGTTGGCCTTTGAATCGGCATCATCTAGAAAGTCGCATACACCATCATCACTCAGAAAATGCGGGAACCAGACGATCTTACCCTGTCCCAACGTGCGCGACAACTTTCTGCTTGTCCCCTTCGCTTCCACTGCTCACGCTACCCCCAATCGAACCCATAACAGCGAGGCTCATGCATTACTCGGGGGCTCTATGAGAAACATGTGCGCCACTGGCCCTGTCTACCACAAACATCCGTGCAAATCGACATGCATCATTTATCCATGTGTAGACGAAACATTCCGCGTGCGGGGACACATTTTGAATGACTACTGGGTACACGCGGCACCACAAGGAGCAGAAGGCATCCATATGGCAAGCATGCAGGCTGCCTGGCCGTTCACGAGGAGCTTTGCCTGATGCCAGGCCCAGCTGGTGGCATGCCGCGATTTCCCATTCAGCAAGGAACGTCCATAATAGCGAAGTGCCGAGGCACGCATCAAAATGTCCGTCGCTGGGGGCGGCACCTGCCACCGAGGGGCCGTGACCGAGAATGGCACCGAACGGGGCGCACGCCAGGGGTGGTGGACAGGCGGCAAGCCATCATAAGGTCAGGTCGGGCATGTCCCCCTCCAGGCGGATTTTGGAAGACACATAAAACATACTCAACAAATGCTCAAACCTGTCAAAAATACCAGAACATCGTCCCAGGATTATGCGTTTGGTATGTTTGACGATTCCTCCTGTACAGGGACATGCCCGACAGAATCTAGGGCCCCATTCTTTGTTCGATTCCGCTTCCGAACCGCGTTTAGTCATGGCGACATGAGGCCCCGAGGGACCCAGAAAGACGACGACGAGTCCAGAAGGGCTCAGAGGCCTGGCGAGATCCCCAGAGACCCAGAAAAAGTCAAAGGACGGCACAACACCCAGACACGAGGAGGAGGACGCAGAAGGAGGAGGAGGAGGAGGAGGAAAACGGAGGAGGAGGGAGGAAGAGGGAGGAGGAGGAGGGAGGAAGAGGGATGAGGAGGAGGAACAGGCGGAGGAGGACAGGACAGGACAGGACAGGACATCCGCACGAGGGGGTCAACGTCAACGCGCCCGCGACGGCGCAGTGTAGAGCGTATGCGTAATTCCCCTGCGTGAGTGTTATGCAGCAAGGACTCGACAGCTCTTCGACACCTCATCGAAGGAACTGCCAAGGCCTGCGCAGAGGCGCGCACGCCGGCCTCCTCGCCCCAAGCCCTCAACACCACCCTCCTCCACCCCAGGCGAGCGTGCGGCCCTTTATTACCGATCGATAGCTCTCCGATGAAACCAAAGGGTGCGGCGCCGCTGGCACTGCGTTGCCAATGGCGCGCGCGAGCGGGCTCGCGCAAGGAGGGTTTCCTGAGCCCCTCTTTAATACGCGAGCCATGCTCCTCTGCATTCCACGGGTAAGAGGACCGAGCAACAGAAGAGAGGAGGACACCGTGCACTCCGAGATGCCCTCGCAGGTGCGATCGACGCTCCCTGCGCCAAGACAGATGCTTTCCCCCGCGCCAGACGCGTTCAGACATGCGCGACCCCCGCTCTAGTTTAACTCACCTCGCGCCGGCTCACCTGTCACTTCGTTTTGTCGTTTTTTTTGTAAGGTTGCGCTTAATAGTTTGGAAAATCTGGGAAAACATGCGGCACGCGCTGAAGACTCGCGCGACATCTCCGTCCAAAGAACAAATGGCTGCGTGTGTGTGTATATTTGTCTCCAAGTTAGGTGTGCAAAATGGCCTGCGCTTTAATTTTCGCGTGGCAGCACTTGCTTACTTGTCTCCCAGCCTGGCCAAAACTCAAATGCTTTCCCTTTCCGGAAAAAGCGTATCCCACTTCTGGCCAACAAAAAACGGACTGCGCCTCTGTTTGCCAAGCGGTGCCGTAAATCTCTGCAGAAAGGTAATGTCCAATATTGTTCCACGCGATGTCATAGATGCCGTCCAAAATTCGTCCGTTGCGCTTCCGCGTCCGCTCTTCGATGACGAGCTCTTCAACAGCAGTGATTTTAACCGCTCAGAGGTCCGAGGCCCCCATAGGGAAACGTTGCCGGTCCCTCTGTCTCAGTTTCCTACTCCTTCTCCACCTCCCCCGCGCCTGGGCAATCCTTGCGCGAAGCAGGAATTTGAATGCTTCAACCGATTATCCAATGGGTATCCCCCTTCTGTGCACATTGCCTGCAAGACGCCCATCCCTGTAAAGCTGAAGAACCCCAGAAGCGTTGCGATCTCAGGGTCGTCATTGAGGAGCGTGGGTGTTCGAAGTTCGTCATCGGCGCAGGTCGGTGGCCTTTGAACCTCGGGGCCTCCATCTTCCCAGGCATCCTTCACTCTCCGGCGAACAAGCGAGTCGATTTCCCGATGCAGCATTTCCATGTAATTGGGTTGGCCTCCATCTGTTCGGACCTCCTCCTCGTCCGTCTCACCGCGGGGGCCCATGGGTTTTCGAGGTTCATCCAGCTTCATCCTCTGGCGAACGAACGAGTGCAATCCAGGGCCGATCGGGTTCCATTGGTTCAGTTGCGCTTCGATTTCCTGGGGCAGCATTTCCACGCGCATTGGATCGGGCACGGGTCCTCGAAGTTCTTCGTCGGCGCCCGCTGGCTGCTTTTGAACCTCGGGGTCTTTAACTGTTTTCGGCTTTTTGCCGTCTAACATTGCTCGCCGGCGCGCGAACGAGTGCGAAGCAGGGCCAATCGAATTCCATTTGCGCACTTGTTCTTCTGTGTCAAACGATTGGATTCGCTTGTAGTCGGGGCAGGCTGCTCCTTGGCCCGAGCGGGCGCGGGCGCTGACGGGGGCCGAGGCGGATCTGCAAACTCCCCCGGCAACTCTTCCCCCTGGGCCCCGCGGGACGCAGGGGGAAAGGGGGGGCCGAGCAAGCTCTGCAAACTCCCCCGCTGCCGTCTGCCCGCCCCTCTCGCCGTCGCTGTTGTCCACTTCGATGTCGGCGCCCGGCTGCGCGCCCTGTGGCGGCGGCTCCTGCGCTCTTTCTGCCGAAGTTGTCCAACAATCAGGTCCCGGGGCGTGTACAACCAACTGTTCACATATTGTAATCCTGGCAAGCTGGCATTTCTGAGCATGGGTGCGGCGGATCTGTTCTCTGCATCTTTGGATCGTCGCTTTTTCAAGGTCGCAGTCAGATGCGGCGCAAGAGATGTCCATCACCGGATCACGACCCAGTCGCTCTGGAGAGGATAGCAAAAGAGGTGCGGTATCGGATTGGCTGCAGGGATTGTTATGATTTGTTGTTCCTCCTTCTCCTACCCTGGCCCCGGCAAAACAACCTGTGTGGCTGTCAGACTCCGTAAGTAGTGTGAGGGGTGAGTGAAAATCTTCCCTCCGTCGGGGCTCAATTTGCTTGAGCTCCAACGCCGACTCGGAGGAGGAGGAGGAAGAGAAGGAGGAGGAGGAGGAGGAGGATTGGTAGCAGGACTCCCCCGAAGCAGGGATAGGTCTTTCAGCTCCAGGCCTTGCCAGGATGCAGCCCGACAGTGTACGTGTGCGGGAAAGTTTGCCCTCGCTCTCCAAAGCTTCCCAGGCCATCCATCCACTTCCCTGCTCGACTCGTCCTTCCCCCCTTCCTCCTCCTGTTCGCTAGGCTCTATCCTCCCCCTCGCCGCAGGGCGCGGTGGGGCAAGAGGACTTCGCGATGAACCCGAGGGTGAGCAACTTTTGGACTGCTCGTGAACGTGCTGGCCGTGATTCGGGCCTTCATTTATGTTGCTCCCATTGTACTTAAGGGCCACATCCAAGAAATAACTTCGAGCACCCAGAAAAGTGTCGAAATAATGTCGACACAGTGTCGGACGAGTCTTCCAGGGCCCGACACGTGAGAACCCTCGAGTTTCGGTATTTTTGGGCGCTCGGAATTCTTTCTGATGATCAAGGCTAAAGTAGGCTGGAACCTCATCAGCCTTCATGCCGATGCTCGTGGAAATGGGCGCAAACGTGTGGTGGTCGCGGTTGGGCGTCAAGATGGGCTTGCAGAACTTAGCCGTGCTTTGGCCGCGATGCCGAGCGTAATCGTGCCGCGTCTCCCGATCGAGGGACGCGGTCTGATCCTTGACGTCGCTCGAGGCGCTGGCCGTGATGATGGGTACCGAGGGGCGGGTTTCGCAGGTGCTAGTTTGAATCGGCACTTGACGATGCCTCAGGCGCGGACTGTGACATGGGCGCCGAAGCTGATCGTGATCCAGCAGCGTTGAATGCCGCTCTGGATGATCGCAGTTCCCTGCTCGTGTCGACGGAGCTCCAGGTGCAAGATCGGGAGGTCCTGCTGGGCTCGGTCGGAGCTGCAAAAGCGGGAAGGTAAGGAGGCGAAGTGGCGCCACCGCCGATTCGCAGAGATGGTGCTGCAGGAGACAGAGCCCTCGGAAGAGACGAGGCTGGGCCTACGGCTTTCGCCTCAGCGTCAGCTGCGGGTGTCTCTCGGTCGGCTGGGCCCCGACGGGGAGCTGCTGGTGCATATGCGTGTGCTGCAGATGGGCGCAACACGGGTTGAAGATAATGCCAAAGGGCGTGCAGCGCATGCTACGGTGCTCTAAGTCGTCGGTACCCGAATGTCTGCACTCGGATTCCTTCAGGCGTGAGGCAGGCCCGTCGCAGGCGGCCCGCGAGCGCCTGAGGGGCGAGAACGAGTGCAGAGCTAGCCACGACGCGGGTGGCTCTGGTGACCCAGTGGGGCAACGGGGGCACCAACAGTGAGGGTGCTGCACCGAGCGGGGCTTCGGCTCCATGTCGGGGCGGGTGCTCTCGTTGGCTGCCTCTGCGACCCTACTGATTCGGCAGAAGGTTCAAAACTGTTCTCCCTGCTGCTGCTGCTGCTCCTCCTTCTCGTCCTCCTCCTCATCCTCCTCCGCCTCATCCTTTCCATCCTCATCCTTTTCCTGCTCATGCTTCTCCGTCCTCCCTTCGTGCTCTTTACCTTTCCTCCTTCCTCCTTCCAACCAACCCTTCTTTCCTCCTGCTCGGCCGTTTCCCCGTCATCCGCTGGATGCATCCAGGCTGATGCACTCCCAAACTTTCACTAGTCTGCAACCTTGTCGTCCCTGTCGCTGCCCTGCTAATTCGCTCCACGCAACCCAAGTGGGCGCGGCGGAGACTGGCAAGCGGATTCCCCAGGCGGTCTCGACCACTTGCAAATTATCCTCATCCAGATCCTCCTGCCCTCCTCCTGTCATGCACCCCCTGCTGGCTCTTTTTGCTCCTCATGTGAATCCATAGGTTGCCGAACTCGTCTCACCCGCTGCTGCCCGTCTATTTCTCATGGCTTTCGCACTGCAATTCTCCGATGTGTGGCTTGCCGGTGCCCTGTGGCCAATGGTCGACACGCTGGGGAAAACCGATCAATATTGTCGATACGTGGGCGCATAGCGCGCAAGTAGACGATGAAACGAACGTGACCCTACAAATGAATGGAATACTGAACATGCCGAACCGCCAACAATCTAAAAACCGAACCGTTGCATGACTGCACAGACTTGCAACCGTGAAGTCGCTTTCAAGAACAACGGGTTGCGAAACCTGTATGTGGAACAGATGGTAGGCGCAGATTTGCACAAACACGACTGATGCTGTTGCTGCTGCACTTGCTACTGTGACCATGCTCATTATCACTGCTCTGCAAAAAATTACCGTGCTCCCTCGTGAAAACGCACGGGGGACTCCGCGCAACCCGTGGCACGCACCACTCCACGTCCTCCATCCCCTTATCAACATACACCTGGGCACAACACCACGCGTCGAGGCGGACGCTGCCAACAGAAAGCCCCTGGCTCGCCTGGTCTTCCAATATAGCGGTGTACATCTCGACGCGCTGGGCCGTGAAAGCGTGCTGCTTCAAGGGAGCCTGAAGCAGAGCTTCCAGGATGGATAGAAGCCGTCTTAGAAACACACGCGCGGTCATACTTGTCATTTCATCGTAGCCTCCGCCTCTTGCACGAGGCCTTATCAACAAAAACCTGGTATAATCACGTCCGCACCTGTCCACATCCTTTGACTTCAAACCATCACTCACCTGTACGTCGCTGGGTCTACACTGTGGCCCACCGTCTGGCGTAACTCCCTGCCCTTGCTCGCTTGGGGCTGTTCTGCCCTTGCTCCTCGGGCCTGCGCAACCATGCAATTCCTCTCGCCACGCCTCCATTTCCGACCTTGCCGCCCTCCGCAATTGCGACTTCTGCTGGTCGCCCCCCTCCCGAGGTGCCTGCATAGCAGCCACGCAGTTGACGAGGAACACCTTGCAAGCGTAGACGAGACCACAAGCGCCGTGTACAGGCGTGGAGGCGGCACAGAAACGACGAGGCGGGGGCAATTGGCAGTGCGGTGGTCAAGGGCCACCACGGACACAACTTATCATGTCTGCCTCAAGAAATGCGTGAACATCAACAACACTCTGATGCCTAGCATGGCCCGGGGGAGACAGGTCTCGCAATGCTCACGGAGGTCGCATCGACAACGGAGAGCAAGCCTGGCCGTCCCCCGCATCCATCATGGAAGCCACCTTGGGAGCACGTAAATCACAAGACTTGCACAGAGGAACGCAACATGACAGAAAACTAGGAAACCTGAGTATCGGGAACATGAGAGCAAGTGCATCTGAGTATGAGTGAGTCTGAATATGAGTGAGTCTACATGTGAGTGAGTCAGATAATGATGACCTGAGGGTGGGAGGTGTATTCTCTCTCGTTCTCCGCGCGGTCAAAGTAATAACAATAACCCCATCCCTAGGATGGGAACAAGGAAACACCAGAAGGAAAACAATGTTCTTGGCCTCCTCAAGCCCTCTTGGGATTCCTCTGGAGGGCCTGCTGGCCCGTCTTGGGGCTCTCTCTGACCACCCTCAAACGCTCTTGGGCGGTCTCAAGGTCTCTTGGAACGCTCTTGGGCTGTCCTGGAGCCGGCTTGGAATCGTCTTGGACCTCTCTTGGACAATCTTGGGGGTATCTTAGGCCATGTTGGGCGTCTCTTAGGCCGTCCTGGGGAGAAATGCGTGTGTTAACGCCCGGGCGATCTGCTTCGCCCCTCCCCTGGAATTCCTCCCTAAAAAACGAATCGCCCCACCAACACATCACCACTCGTACCTCGCTCTTTCCGTTACCTTGGCCGAGCACGGAACCGTAAAGAACGCTCTCATGAACTTGCCCGAGAAGGCTCCTAGCGCTGTCCGTTCTTGTGAGCCTTCGCGTTAAGAGCCTGTCAAACCATCGTTCGTACTGGCAACCTCGGGGTTCCAACTTTTGATGCCACGGTATGCACTTGAGAGCCTTTGCACACAACTTGGTTTACGTAACCAATCGCTCGTGGGAGTCTTGGCGTTACAAGTCTGCTACGTCACAGTTCGCTGTTGGGAGCCTTGGCATTTTAAGCTTTGGACGTCACTAGGAACTCTTGGGAGCCTCGGCGCGAAAACTTGTTACGTCACCGACTCGCCTACAACGGTATTCCGTCCCCTGGAGCTCTAGGGAGCCTTTGCTCACTGGGCCATCTGGGGACAAGAACCTTGACGTCAAAGCTGTGTCCGTCGCTGGGCCGTCTTTGAGCCCACCTGGGGGCTCTCGAGAAACGCTTAGGGATAATTGGGTTCTCTTGGAGGAGCTGGCGTTGTGGACCGTCTTGGGGGCCTCTACGACAGTCTTGCGGCCTCTTGGGCCGTCTTGAAACCCTCCTGGGCCATCTTCGGGGCCTCTGGAGCCGCATTGGGGGCCTTTTGGGCTATCAGGGGTCGCTTGGACGCTGCTTTAGAGCCCTCTGGGGCTTAGGGACCTCGGGGGCCGTCTTGGCGCCCTCTTGGGCCGTCTTGGGGCCCTTTGGGGGTCCCTTGTGCTGTCTTGGGGCAACCTGGGACATCCTTGGATTCTTGGGTGGTCGGAAATCTGAAAAACGAGACCACTGAAAACCTTGAACTACCCACGGGAAATCAGCATGTGTTGTTTCTCTTCAAGCCCTCTTCGGCCGCATTGAAGCCATAATATGCCGTCTTTCAGAGCTCATGGACCGTGTATGGACCCTCTTTGACCTCGCTTCTCTCTTAGGCCGTCATCGTGGCGTTGCCGTCTTGGTGCCCTCTCGGGCTGTCTTGGAGTCCTCTTTGGGGCCTCTCGGACAATCTTGGGGCGACCTGGGACCCCCCCTGAGGCAGTCTTTTTTTGTTGGTTGTTTTTGTTGTTTGATCGATGGATGCGATGATATGTTCTACCCCGCGCCAGGTGGAAGGTTTCGAAGCGCGCCGCATTTAGCAGCTGAGCGCAAGGCCGCTGACCGAAATCAAGCCTACGTTACGCTACGCTAAGCCATACGCCCAAGCGCGTGGGCGAGACAAGAAACGCAAAAGTACACTAAGGCAACGGGCATTTAAATGGGTATTTGGCGCCAGCCTACGAAGAAAAACGCATTCGGGCACAACCCGCTCGGGACTTACTTGGACCCGTTCGCCCACGAGACGTGTCAGGGCTGGGCGGGAGGGGGTCCAAGCAGGCTGCGGAAGAGCATGTCGCCGGAGCGGTGCACTTGTGCACGACCATCGGTGGCCGATCCTGGAAACCCTGAATAACCTGCAAAACAGGTTCCGGGAGGACACCTGTTAGAGGGGGAGTGTGCCACCGCTGGGCTGGAATCAGACCCGCAGATCCGCTGGACGAGACCAGCCCTTGAGAGCGGCGACGCAAGCGCACCGAGTCAGAATCTCGCCTCGGCCAGCTTGCCGAGTCAGATCTGCACCGAGCTCCCGAGCTGCCTCGTGTCGGCGGATGTGACAAAACATTCAACGGGTTGCTCACAGCCGACGACCTCGCGCAAAAGGTAAAGCATAGCGGGTATGCATCTGCAAGGTGTTATTGGAGGGAGACGCGGGGAAGGCAGCAGCAGAGGCGTCCCGGTCCAATGACACTTGGTGGCAGAAAGACGACTGGCAGGCCGACGGCTGGGGCAAGTCGGCCGAAGAAGCGTGGAAACATCCTGGCAGCTAGGGTTGGTCATCTGGGGCTGGGGCGGGGGCAAGAGAGACTACTCAAATCCCCCAGCCTGGCCAGGCTGGACACAGAGGCGGCGGGGGATCAGGAAGAGGAGGTGGTGGAGGAGGCGGCGGACGAGGAGGTGAGGACGACCAGTGTACACCCAAGACGCATCAACGATGCGGCAACAGGCCCTGCTTCCAAGCTCTCTCTTCATAGGTCCATGGAAGAGTGTATTCTCATTCCAAGAACGTTCACTGAACAAGCCAAACACTCGGCGCCTGCGGCGGGCTGCTTTTTCATTCGCTCTGGGTGGCCCACCGAGGAGGAGGAGGAGGAGGAGGAGGAGGAGGAGGAGGGGGAGGAGGAGGAGGAGGAGGAGGAGGAGGAGGAGGAGGAGGAAGGAGGAGGGCGCCATCGACAGGGAACTGGTCCAATAGAGGGCAACCGTCTGAGAATCTTCAGCCGTGCCATTTCGCCGTTCCCGGGACTGCAACGCCGCGGATTCGTGTTACTGTTGCGTCCTGGCAGTCCTGAGGCGGGCGTGGGGAAGGGAGAGGGGGCTGAGGCAGGAGGAGCGTACATATCCACCCGGCTGCTCGAGAAGAGACGAAAGAGAGGGTGGCGAGAGGCGAAATGCGGCGACATTCGTTGCACCAAGGCTCGGGAGGTGCAGCAAGCACGAACCTAGGCGACCCCGCCCTAGCGTCGGCACGCCCAAGCGTCCCTAGCGTGCAAGAGTCGAATCGCCGGCGAAAATGGCGAGGACAACAGAGGCTCGCACAAAGGCGAGCACCAAACCGTTGAAGACAGAAGCTCGCACAGATGCGAGCGCCGGGTTATCGAAAACAGAGGTTCGCACAGATGCGAGCACCGTGGGACGTCTTATCCTCTTTACGCACCCAGAACGCCTTCCGCTTACAAAGGCATCGCTCCCTCTGGCCATCTGCTCATAGTGGTTGATTGAATTTAAGGGGGGAGGCAGGAGGAGGAGAGAAGCAGGAGGGAGAGGATGAGGAGTGATGGAGAGAGCGTTTGCATGCTTAATGTTTGTGCCTTGTGGAATTGAAGTGTCTTCGATTTGAGGCGTGCAAAAAGTATCCTGTAGTCTCTACGGGGGCCGCTCGAGGAACTCGTGATGGCCACTTGGGCGTCGATTGGGTGCCTCTTGGGAGTTTCTTGGGGATTTCTTGGGGGCCTTCGGAGCCTCCTGGGGACCGCCGGGATGCTCTGGGGGCCTCTTTGGGGCCCCCACTGGGCACTCCTGAGGCGCATTGGGGACGTCTTGGGCGCCTCTTGGGCCGCCTCGGGGCCCTCTTGGGTACCTTGGGGCCCTCTGGCGGGGCGGCTCGAACACTCTGCTGTGGGCCCCGCGGCTTCGGGGCAGCTTCCGGGGAGGCGGCGAAGTGCGAAGTGCGGCGGCATTCATTGCACCAGGGCTCGGGAGGTGCAGCAGGCACTCGCCAAATTAGGCGACCCCGCCCCAGCGTCGGCGCGCCCAAGCGTCCCTGGCGTCCAGTGGTCGGATCGCCGGCGACGCTGGCGAAGCCAACGACGGTTCGCGCAGAGGCGAGCACCCGATCTCTGAAGGCAGAGGCTCGCACAAATGCGAGCACCACAGCATCGAAGACAGGGGCTCGCGCAGATGCGAGCACCATGGGACGTCCTATCCTCTTCGCGAACCCTGTGCGCTTCCTGCTTGCAGACGCATCCTTTTTCTCTGGCCATCGGCGTCGTCACCGGCATCGTCATCACCATCGCCATCATCATGCGCATCATCATCGACATCATCGTCGACGTCATCACCATCGTCATTTTCATCGCAGCAACCGTCATCATGCCCTAACCTGAGCAACGACCCCGGGCGCGACTCTGAGGAAGAGGAAGAGGAGGGAGGTGAGTGGAAGGAGTCGGCGCTGTCGAAAAGTAACATGAAATACGAGGAGGAGGATCAGAAGAAGTAGGAGGGCGAAGACGACGACGCGGACGCAGAGGAGTACATAGTCCTATAGTGCTCTAGTGCTCTGATCCTCTGGCCCCTCGGCCATCTGGCCCGCCCGTCCTCTGGTTCTTTGGTCCTCTGGTCATTTAGTCCTTTGCTCCTCCGGCCCCTTGGTCACGCGGTCCTTTCGTCCTCCTCTGTTCCTCGTCGCCATGGGAGCGAAAACGCAGACGAACAGAAATCGACGCCGAGTCGACGGCCCTGCGCTGGCTGAGCTCGGGAGCGCTGGCCTACCGCTTCTTGGTCGTCCCCTCGCGCGCAGGCCGCGAGCGGTCGACGAAGTGGCTGCGCCGCCCGTTCACGTCCTGCTGCCGCAGCGCAAACCGCTGGGTCGCGGCCTGGAAGGTCGCGGTGGCGAAGCAGTCCATGCCGCAGGCCTCCAAGTCCCGCTTCAGAGTCTCGCGCTCCTCGCGGGCGCGCGAGACCGCATTCCCGCGCCAACGAAAGCTGGGGTTGCTCGGCGCCCTCCTGAGCTCCGCGACGCTGACGCTGGCGGCTGGGGCCCTCTGCGCGAACGCTTGGCAGGCGACGGAACTCAGAGACGCGTCCTCGCAGTCTCTGCCCCCTTCCCACTGCGGCGGAGACCAGGGCCGAATTCCTGGCGCGACGCGAGTCGGCGCCACGCGCGCTCGGCGCGCGGCGCGCCTGGCTCACCTGGCGCGCCGGGAATCGAACGTCGATCGCCGTGGAAATGCAACCCCCCAGCTTCTATCGCAGCGGACCTTGTGGCCTGTCTTTCCAGTCTCGTCGCGGGTGAACTCTTTCGTTCGGATGGGCGCGCCGCAGAGCTGATGGCGCAGCTGAAAAAAAGAAGACGGGGCATCTAAGGAACCAGCGCGACGCACGAGTGCTTTCGCAGCCCTCGTCGGCCACCGCCAGGAAGACACAAGTCCCGCTCGAATTGCGAGACGTCGGCTGCAATGAACCGCAATGGAAGCGGCAAACCATGAGACCGTGAAGGGAACGCCAGGGATGCGAGCCGCTGCAAAGAGAAACGCGTGAGACGTCGTCCTGGTCCCAAAAGGTCCCCTTCTTCTCCAGCCACGCCAATCCTCGGCGTCGCGAGCGGCCGCCTCCTGCAGCGCCTGCGGTCTCGCCCGGCTCAGTGGCTGGCTCTGCGGGCGCGGCGCCGAGCCCTTGGGCGTCTTCGCTGGTGCCTCTGAGGCAGGCTCCGCTGCTGCTGCTGCTGCTGCTGGCGCTGCTGCTGGCGCTGCTGCTGGCGGTTTGGCTGCTGCTGCTGCTGCTGCTGCTGCAGCTGCCGGTGTTGCTTCTAGTGCTTGCGGCGGTGGTGCTGGTGCGACGGTCACGTCGCCTGTCGGCGCCGCTGCCGCCGCGTGTCGGCGTTGATGCGGCTAGCTGCGGCGCGCGACGGACGTCTGCGCCGAGCGCGTTTTTGGCGAAGGCCCTCAAGCTCCGGCTCCGCGGCGGCTGCGCCCCAGGAACCAAAGGCGTCGACCCTGCTGCGGCCAGCTGCTGCGCGCGGCGGCGCTCGGTCTCACGCGCGCCCTTCGCGCTAGCCCTTGGGCTCTGGCTCCGCGGCGGCTGCGGCTTCAAAACCAAAGGCTGCGCCCCAGGAGCCATGAGAGTCGGCGCTGGTGCGCCGGGCTGCGGTGGGTGACGAGCCTAGGCCTCAGCAGCCCCTGCAGTCTCGGGCGCACCAGCGCGTTCAGCAGCCCGGCGCTGCTTTTACGCTTTCCCATGTCGACTGAGCGCGTAGGTTGCTCGCTGCGCCGAGCGCGTCCTTCCACGTCAAGAAAGCCCAATGGGCAACCTCAGTCTAGAGCCGAAACGCGTCGGTGATGGAGATGGAGGAGGATGAGTAGGATGAGTAGGAGGACGAGGAGGACTAGGAGGATGAGGAGGAGGAAGAGGAAGACGAGCAAGGAGGAGGAGGAGGGGGATGAGGAGCAGAGGAGGACGAGAAAAAGGAGAAGGATGAGGAGGAGAAGGGGGAGGACAGGCAGGAGGAGAGGAAGAATGAAAAGGACGAAGGGGAGGAGGAGAATGAGAAGACGGAAGATTGGCGGGAAGCAAATGGGGGGATAAGTCCAGATGGGGAGAGAGGCGCAACCGAGGTACAAAGTGCACCTACGCCCCACGGAGAAGGTACAATTTGTACCGACGCCACGCAGACAAGGTACAACTTGTACTTTTGACAACGTCCGCGACATGTGCGAGGATGTTAACGGGGGGAGAGAAGGTACAATTTGTACTTGCAACCCGCAGAGAAGGTACAACTTGTACCCCAACGAAACGGTACCGGATACTCATCCCCCCATGTCCTGATCCCCCCATCGCCAGCTGGCCGAGAAGAGGGCGGCTCGGAGCAATTATGTGGTGTAATCTATGTGATGCGTTTGCGCCCAATTCAATGCACCCATCACGAGAATTACATCCAAGCCCCGTTGGCAACTTCACCGGACCCCCAGGGGCAACGTCCGCTATTTCGGCTCACTGCTTAAGAGGGTCGTGGTCTACGTGGAGCTCCCCACCGAAAGCCCCAGAGGCAGGGTCCGAACGGCACCATTGCACCTTTTTCTCGGCACACCCCTCACGAGAGAACTCAACCGAAAGCCCCAAAGGCAAGGTCCGCGTCGGCAAACCACTCTCGAATATCACGGAATCGTGAGGCGACCTAAAGAAGGCTCTGGAGCCCCAGAGGCATAGTCGAACCAAACAGTCATGAGCATCATCTTCAGCAGGGTGGTGATGATGATGCTGGTGATGATGATGCCCGTCGGCGTAAGAGCACCGATCTCGTCATCCTCGCCTAGACACTTTCACCAAGGGGGATTTCAATCAAAAATGCGACCCGCCTCCTCCTCCTCCCCCTACCCCTCCTTCTCCTCCTCCTCCTCCTCCTCCTCCTCCTTCTCATCATCCTCATTTCTCCTCCTCGCCCTTCTTCTCTCCTCCTCCTCCTCCTCCTCCTCCTCGCCGTGGAGCGCTCCAAAGAGCCGCCCCAAACGCTGCGCCAAAGACACTCGAAATGGGGGTGGAACCGCATGCGGGCGCTACCGTTGGGGCCTTCGGTGGAGCTCCCGATGGGGCCACGAAACGTGTGAGGGGAGTGCCGAAATTGGTGTCGATGATGGTGGCGATGACGGCCATGATGATGGCGACGATGGTGATGATGAGGATGATACCGATGAGGAAGGCGACGATGATGACGACGATGATGATGACGATGATGTTCATGACGATGACGATAACGATGACGACGATGACGATGATGATGACGGTAATGATGAGGATGATGATGATGATGCTGCTGCTGATGATGCTGATGATGATGATGATGATGATGATGATGATGATGATGATGAGAGGAGGAGGGAGGGGGCAGCGGGAATGAACGCGGGGCGATGTCTCTTCAAAACAATGAACCCAACACCACAGGATGATTGGGAACAAATGTGGAGCTGATCGCCCCGCCCCGCGACCTTGGCGGAGTTAAAGCGCGGGGTCCAGAGAGTGCTTCCTCCTCCCTCCTCCTCCTACTCCTCATCCGCCTCCCCCCTTCCCAAACCACCATTTCCTCCCTCTTCCGCCGACTCCTCCTTTCTGTCCGAAAGTAGCTCTTAACCGTAAGAGCGGTACCAGACCAAAGTACCAGACTAAATTACCAGACTCATGTACGAGGCTAAAGTACATACTAATCAAACTAAAGTACCATACTAATGTACCAGACTAGAGTACCTTAGTCTGGTACTTTAGCCTGATTCGTCAGGTACTTTAGTCTGGTACTTTAGTATGAATCGTCTGGTACCTTAGTCTGATACCTTAGTCTGGTACGTCAGCCTGATTAGCATAGAGAGAAAGAGAGAGAACGAGAAAAAGAGAGAGAGAGAGAGAGAGAGAGCGCGCCATGCACTTCAGATGTGCGTCGGAAGTAGTATACAGACAGAAAGAAAGACTCACACTGCACCCTGCGCACAAAAGTTGCGAGCTGCACGTCGCCACGTCTGGGCGCTCCGTTGCCACAGCTGAAGCAATCTGTCCTCGTGTCCAGCCGCTTGGAACGCCATGGCAAATGCATTCCGCTTCCACGTGCTCTTTGGTCGGCCGCGTTTCTGGCGACCTCCCAAACAGGATAAACAGTAAGTCTGATTAGCCTGGTACACTAATCTAGTCTGGTTATCCCCCCCGCCTCCCCTGGACCCCTCCCAGAAAGGAGGGCTTCGCCCCACAACGATTCCACTCGCTCGTACCTCGCTCTTTCCGTCTCCTGGGCCGGCGCGGAAACTGAGAGAGCACTGCAGATTCAGAAGCTTACCCGCGTGTGTAGGGCTTGTTGAAGTCTTCTTGGCGCCCAGCTGGGGCCCATTGGGGGCTCTTTGAGACGCTTTTGCGATCGTGTTGGACACTCCTCGGCCCATTTGGGCAGTCTGAGCGTGCGGGAAACCGTCGTGGGACTCCTATGGAGGCCTCCTGGGGCCCTCTTAGGAGCGTCTTGGGACCCGCCTTCGCATGCGTTGGCATGCGTTGGCGAGCGTTGGCATGCATCGGTATGAATTGGTACGCGTTGGCATGCATTGACATGCGTTAGCATGCGTTGGCATGCGTTGACATGCACTGGCATGCCTTGGCATGTATCGGCATGCGTTGGCCTGCATGGCCTGCATTGGCATGCTTTGGCATGCACTGGCATGCGTTGGCATGCATTGGCATGCACCGGCATGCTTCGGCATGCATTTGCATGCGTTGGCATGCACTTTCATGCGCTGGCACGCTTTGGCACGCATTAGCATGCAATACATGCGTTGGCATGCATTGGCATGAATTGGCATGCGTTGGCATGCATTGGCATGCATTGGTACGAGTTGGCATGCATTGGCATGCATTGGCATGCGTTGGCATGCGTTGGCCTGCATGGCATCCATTGGCATGCTTTGGCATGGATTGGCATGCGTTGGCATGTATTGACATGCGCCGGCATGCTTCTGCATGTATTGGCATGCGTTGGCATGCACTGGCATGCGCTGGCACGCTTTGGCACGCATTAGCACGCAATGACATGCGTTGGCATGCATTGGCATGAGTTGGCATGCGTTGGGCATGCATTGGCATGCGTTGGTCTGAGTTGGCCTGCGTTGGCATGCATTGGCATGCGTTGGGCATGCGTTGGCATGCGTTCGCATGCAGTGGCATGCATTGGCATGCGTTGGAATGCATGCGTTGGCATGCATTGGCATGCGTTGGCATGCGTTGGCATGCATTGGCATGCAATGGCATGCATTGGCATGCGTTGGCATGCGTTGGCATGTGTGGCATGCTTTGACATGCGTTGGCATGCACTGGCATGCGTTGGCATGCGTTGGCCTGCATTGGCCTGCATTGGCCTGCATTGGCATGTGTTGGCATGCGTTGGCCTGCGTTGGCCTGCGTTGGCATGCACTGACAAGCGCTGGCACGCTTTGGCATGCATTAGGATGTACTGGCTTGCGTCGGCATGCGTCGGCATGCATTGGCATGCGTTGGCATGCATTGGCATGCGTTGGCATGTGTTGGCCTGCGTTGGCATGCGTTGGCATGCATTGGCTTGCATTGGCATGTGTTTGCCTACGTTGACATGCGTTGGGCATGCATTGGCAGGCGTTGGCATACGTTGGCATGCGTTGGGCATGCATTGGCAGGCGTTGGCATGCATTGGTATGCGTTGGCTTGCATTGGCATGCATTGGCATGCGTTGGCATACGTTGGCATGCGTTGGCATGCATCGGCATGCGTTGGCATGCATTGGCATGCGTTGGAATGCGTTGGCATGCACTGGCATGCATCGGCACGCTTTGGCACGCATTAGCACGCATTGGGATGCACTGGCATGCATTTGCATGCATTGGCATGCGTTGGCATGCATTGGCAGTGGGCGAGGGGAAGGAGGATGAGGTGATGAAACTGCGGGGGAGAAGAAGACGGAGGCCATCAAGACGAGGGGGAGGAGGCGAAGTAGGTTCTGGGGAAGCAGCGGCAACGATGCGGAGGAGAAGGAGGAGGAGGTGATGAACAGAACGACACCGCTGCAGCACCCCTGCAGGAGAATCCCTCGGAGCAGCAAGCGTTCCCCGACTTCTCAGCCACCCATGTCGACTTGGTCGCTCCTCCTCCTCCTTTTCCTCCACCTTTTCCTCCTCCTCCTCACCTCCATCGTGCTCCCTCCTGCTCCCATTCCCCCTTTGCCACATCCTCCTCCTCCTCCTCCTCCAACTCAGCCTCCTCCTGCTTTGCCAATTGTGGAATCGTCCGAAAGCGTCGTCGTCGCCCTCCTTTCCCTCCTCCTCCTCCTCCTCCTCCTCCTCCTCCTCCTCCTCCTCCTCCTCCCCCTCCCCCCTCCTTCACCTCCACAGCTTCTTCTTCCTCCTCCTCCTCTTCCTCCTCCTTCTACTTTTCCACCCTCCTCATCGTCCCTCTCATCCAATTCGCACTCCTCCCTCGTCTTCCTCCTCATCCTCCTGCTCCTCCTCCAGCTCCATCCTCCACCAACTCCTCCTCCTCCTCCCTCTCCTCCTCTCCCTGCACCACCTCCTCCTCCTCTTTTGACGATCTTGGAGGCCATCCGACAGCGGCATGTGTGCGAGAATATCTCTAGCGAAACGCTCTTTTTTTACAACAATATCGTACACATACGAAAGCCGACTTCTGTGTTCACTGTTGTCAATATTCAAGATTATCGAGGAGAGAACCGGAATAGTCTTCCATCCATTATTTTGTGACCATCGATGTTTTGACGATGCCCCAGCGAAACGCCCGTTTTTTTATAGACTCCAAGACGATGCCGATGCCGGAGATTTGACAATCCCATCTCCAGCGAAACCGCCCTTTTGTAAGACAATCGCCATTATGACCATCGTCGTTTTTGCATTCATTGGCTGCTTAATTGAAGAGGATCCTGAGCCCCCCCATCATGGCACCACACCTCCCCCCCCCGCGGCACCACACCTCCCCCCCCGTGGCACCACACCTCCCCAGTGGCACCACACCTCCCCCCCCCTCCCCCGAGGTAAAAAAGAAGAGACTGGAGGGGAACAAAAAAACAGACCCCGAGGGAAAAAGAAAAAGAAGCAGAGCATCCCAGGCCCACCAAGGGAACAACAAAAAAAACTCCGAGGGGAACAAGAAAAGCCGCCGAGTTGAACAAAATATGAGTTCGAGGGACAACAATAAAACACTCCCCCCCATTCTCCCCCACACCTGGGGGGGGGAGGGAAAACAAAAAGACTCCAGACCCCCCTCCCCCGCAACACCGAGGGGGAAACAACCAGCTACGAGGGACAACATAAAAACCAAGCCCACCCCAGAAGAACCCCCACAACTAAAAACCAAATACAAAAAAACAGAATCTCTCAAATCGACAGCATTTCCCCCTTCAGCGCGCCGAAAAAAAACTCTCAGGACAGCGACGGGACATCGACGGGACCACATCGGGACACCGACTGAACACCGACGAGCCACGAACGGGAAAATAAACCTTTTCAAGCTCGTCTTCCCGCCACTGGAAAATGAACCTTTTCAAGTTCCCATCCCATCACAAACACTCTTGGGAGACTGAACCTTTTCAAGTTCCGTCTCCCGAAGCTAGGGATGAAACCTTTTCAAGCTCCCTCTCAAACTCACACGTAAACGGACGAGTGAACCTTTTCAAGTTCCCTCTCCTGCAACGATGAGACAACGACATAATAGCGACAGAGAAATACCGACGAGGAGAAAAATAAAGACAGGGAGGGGGAGGAGGAGGAGGAGGAACAGGAAGAAGAAAGGACACAGAGGACTCCGAGGAGACGGAGGAGAGACGGAGGAGACCTCAGGGAGGAGGAGACCTCAGAGACGTAGGAGAAAGAGACCTCGGAGAGCTCAGAGACATACGAGACCTCAGAGACCTCAGAGACGAAAGAGATGGAAGAGACAGGACCTAGAGCTAAGAAGATGTTGCGAAAACCGTTACCTAGGGATGTCTGGAGCGAGGGCCTCATTTTTTACGAACCGCGTCTTAAGACAACTGCTCCAACAACACAACTTGTTCGAAGATGTCTCAATCGAAACGGCACCCCCCAAGAGAATCCTGCAGAACTCAGCCACTGAGAAGACAAAGAACCACAAAGAACCACTGGAAGACCAGAAAAACCGTGATTTCCCAAATCGGCAGCGTTTCCCCCCCTGGATGCACTGACACAAGTTTGGACCCCCAAGAGGACCCTACAGAACCCACCTTCTGAGTGGACAGAGAACCAATGAGAACCCCTGGAAGAACCCAGAACTGAAACAAGATACACGATACAAACACCATAATTTCCAATATTGGCAGCATTTCTTCCAATCTTAAATGCATTGAACAAAGTGGGACCTAAAGGAACCCTGCAAAACCCAGCCACTGAGTGGACAGAGAACCACCGGAAGAACCCACGACTGTACAAGTATACACTAAAAGCAGTGGTTTCCAAAATCGACAGCATTTCCCCCTTCAACGCACTGACAGAAAAACACCCCCCAAGAAAACCTTGCAAACCCAGCCACTGAGTGGACAGAGAACCACAGACAACCCCCAGAAGAACACACATAACTAACAATTAAAAAAACGCCTACCCAAAAACATAATTTTTGAAATAGACAGTACTTCCCCTTTAAATTCGCTGACCAAAAAAGGAATCCCCACGAGACACCGACGGGACATCGCTGGACCACGAACGGGAAAATAAACCTTTTCAAGTTCGTCTTCCCGCCACTGGAAAGTGAACCTTTTCAAGTTCCCATCCCATCACAAACACTCTTGGGAGACTGAACCTTTTCAAGTTCCGTCTCCCGAAGCTAGAGATGAAACCTGTTCAAGCTCCCTCTCAAACACACACGTGAACGGAAGAGTGAACCTTTTCAAGTTCCCTCTCCTGCAACGATGAGACAACGACATAACAGCGACAGAGAAATACCGCCCTGCCGCCCTCCTTGGGAGCACCGACACCAGCGCCTCGCCTGAGACATTCTCAGAAACTACTCCGAAAGAAAGGAATGGTGAACATGCAAACCGGCAAACCGCCTGAGACGTCCCCACAAAACTGGCGCGAACGGGCCCGTGCAATACGGAGGATAAGCAAGTCAGAGTATGAGTGATTCTGACTGTGAGTGAATCTGAATGCGAGCGAGTCTGAGTGATGAATTATCTGAATGCGTCTGTACAGTCTGAGTATGAATGAGTCTAAATGTGAGTGAATCAATTATCGGAATGAGTCTGTGTAGTCTGAGTGTGAAGGAGTCTGAGTGTTAGTGAGTCTGAGTGATGAGAGATCTGAGTGATGAGAGAAACTGAGTGACAAGCGAGTCCGAGCGACGAGAGTCTGAGCCTTCCTGAGGATATGGGGAATGATGACCTGAGAGTGGAAGGTGTGTTCGCTATGTCGTTCCGCGCGGTCAAGATACTAATAAGAACCTCATCCTTGGGATATGGGGAAAACATGACGAGACGATTCGCTATCCAGCGGGAAACACTCTGTGTACGAAAACCTTGGCAGTCATAGCGACGCCTATCCTTCCAAACAGAAAAAAAAACAAGTTGAGCAAGCGGCCCCAGGAGCCCAGACTCGGCGAGCTCGACGGCCGAACGCTCACAGCTAAAACGTGACGGCCCAAAGGCCTTAGCTCAACGCGCGAGCCCGCCGCACGCGCCCCTATGTTGCGCACACACACACACACACACGCAATAAACAACCCGGAGAACCTGTATTTGAAGCAGCTTCGCCTCCTCGGCTTTCGCAACGCCCCCAACGCCGAAGACAGCCCAAACGGCTCCCAAGAAGGCTCCACAGGAGTCCCTGCTGGGCCCCGCCAAGGCCCCGGGAGTGCTCGGGATCGCCCAATAACGCCCCAAGACGGCCCCAAGACAAGCCCAAGAGGCGACAATTCGAGCTTTCCGTCCCAAGAAGCCCCCAGGAGACCCCAAGAGGCCCCCGAAAGAGCTCAGGAGGCCACAACCGCGCACGCAAACGCCTGCGACGGCACTATACGGGCCAGCGGAATAAGCGAAGCGATTATATAATTTCGAGCACCCAGAAAAGTGTCGAAACAATGTCGAACGAGTGTCGCCTCCCAGGGCCCGACACGTGAAAACCCTCCGACTTCGGTACTTTCTTGCTGCTCGAAATTCTTTCTGGTGGTCAAGGCTAAGTAGGTTGGAGCATCCTACAGGCGGATTTTGGGCGAAAGCTGAAAAATAATCAAACAATGCCCAACACTAACCAAACATGGTACAACACATTCTCCCAAAACTATTTTCTGACTATTTTTTAAATTCTTCCTGTAGAGGGACAGGCTCGACACACAACGACGATCAGATCATGGATGTCGCCATGCTGGGACGCTGCACCACCCTCCAGGCGGTGCACAGCTAACGCTGACGTTGCGCCGCCTACGATAATGGTGAATTAAGCACAGTTGCCAGCTTCGGAAAGCAAAAAGCGATCCCCGGACGGATACCACAACTCTTCAGACGACTGGTCATGAACCCCCACGTCCGCGGAGACGTCCTCTGACCAGGGGTCCCTGGAAGAGAAAACATAGCCCACGCACGCTGCAACTGCCAATGCACGACCCGATCAGTGCACAGCATGCTCAGCATCTCAGCGCACCTGTCTCTTCGTCCGAAGCAACATCCCACCGCTTCGTTGTCCGCTGGGCCAGGCCGCCTAGCATGTGACCGGGGCCCATGATTTGTCGTCAGCTCCAGCTCACGCGCACGCCGGACTCAAGGATGCCAGCAGAGCTCGCGATGGCACTTGCAAAGGTGCCGGCAAAGCATAGCGCTCGCACGCGCCGAGACAGCGCGGGCGAACCGCAGCGACTCCTGAGCAGCAGAGAGGAGGGGGGAACAGGAGGAGAGGGCAGAGCGCGGGGAGGCACGGCGAGGGCGGCGAGAGAGGACTTTGAGGCCACAGGGCCCCTCCACAGTGGTCCCGCGGCGCACATCTGGCCCTGCGCACCCCCAGCAGTCGGTGCGTCGACTGTGGATGCTGTGAGGTCGCACTCCAACAATGGCCGCAGAAGCACTGTGCTAGGTATAGCATGGGGATCTCCGCGTCGAGCCTCGTTCGAGTGGAATCCGACGTTTGGGATCACAGTCGAAGCACAACGGGGATTCGACTGCAGCAGGGCATCGACGGCGGTCCTGCTGGCAACCTGCGTGGCAACCTCCCCGCCTCCAACCCCCCCTACACCGCCCGCGTGGCCGATCTTCCCCCCTCCCGAGCGACATGCAGTGCTGGTCCCACAATTGAACATTATCGAATGCTGATGCTGCGAGATGGGACGGGAGCGGAACGAAGCGAGGGAGGGATTTCGTCGGACCTGAATTCTGGGCTGGCGGCAGGGAGATCTTGCATGCGGTACCTCGGCCTGAGGAGCTCGAGCCGCCTCGGCAAACAGGCATCACTCGCCTAAGCTGTTGATGCTGCCTGTCCCGTTGCCCGAGCTACTGTCCTCAGAACCATCGAGGCAGGCTCGCCGACGTCGCGAGAGGATCCTCGACATCGCCATCTCCAGCAAGGCGTGCTGCGGAAGGCCCGGCCCTTGGTTGGCGGTGACGCTGCGCCGGATGCGGCGCTGCTGGGCGACCTTTGCGAACCGGTTCTCGTCGGCGAAGCTGTCGGCATCGCTGCCGCCTGGCTCGGTAGATAGGCTGCCAGGCATGCACTCGGCCTCCAGCTCCAGCAGCCCCTCGAGGTCCGGCAGGGTTAGGTCGGGCATGTCCCCCTACAGGTGGATTTTGGACGAAAAAATAAAAATACCCCAACATACCCCAATAAATAATCAAACATACTCAAAAAATCGGCCCCTGACTATGTTTGTGCTATTTTTGAATATTCCTCCTGTAGAGGGGCACGCCCCGTTTCAAAGATAGGCTGCTGGGCAAGCGCTCTGGCCCCACTGGCCGATTCAATGCCCTAGATGGGGATATGGGCCGATTCCTTCGGGTTTCGAAGGGCACATCCCCAACTATCGACGGTGGACAAACCTCCCTTTAGTAAACCACTCTTTAGTGAAAACGGCCCAGGACGGAAACCGACGGACCTGGACCCGCAAAAATGGCGGACGCGACGCCCTCTCGCGAACCGAAGAAGGCCAACTCGCTACTCGACGTGTCCAGGAGGGCGATCAGTCTGGGAAACAAGGGTGCGGAGATGTTGGGGGTCTGGATGGAGATGGGGATGGGGATGAGGATCGGTTAAACTTGAGTCGGGCCTGTCCCTCTACAGGAGGAATATTCCTAACTTGTCAAACTACAGTCCGGGGACGATGCTTTTCAGTACCTGTTGATTGCTTTGGGGCACTTGTTGAGCATTTTCAGATTTTCGCCCAAGATCCCCCTGTAGGGGGGAGGAGGAGGAGGAGGAGGAGGAGGAGGAGGAGGAGGAGGAGGAGGAGGAGGAGGAGGAGGAGGAGGAGGAGGAGGAGGAGGAGGAGGAGGGGGGAGGGAGGGGAGGGGGAGGGGGAGGGGAGGGGGAGGGGGAGAGGGGGAGGGGAGGAGGAGGAGGAGGAGGAGGAGGAGGAGGAGGAGGAGGAGAGGAGGAGGAGGAGGAGGAGGAGGAGGAGGAGGAGGAGGAGGAGAGGAGGAGGTGCTCGGCCTCCAGCCCCAGCTGCCCCTCGAGGTCCGGCGGGGCCGCCGCGCCCGACGGCCGGGCCCACGGCGCCGCGGAAACGCCGCCGCGGCCGCGGCCGCGGGCCCCCGGCGGCGGGGAGGAGGGCCGCCGCGCGGCGCCTCGCGCCCCTGCCAGCAGGTCAGGCACGTCCCTCCACAGGAGGGAGGGGTACTCAGAAATTGTCAGGAAGTAGCCTGGGGAAGATTTTGACTATTTTTGAGCACTTCTTCCTTGCTTTCTTTTTTTTTGTGTGTGTATTTGGAATATGTTCTATTTCTCGTCCAAAATCCGCCTGGGAGACACGCCCGACCTAACCCTGCCGTCTCCACGTGCTGGAAGCTTGTCGGGCTGCGAGTCCCGCTCTCCTCGGGGGGAACGAATGGTGGGGGACAGCAAAGGGCAGGATAGAGAATCGGCTCACGCAAATGGTTTTCCATCGGAAGCTGGGCGAGGGCTGGCAAATCCGTGGCTGCTAAAACGGTCTTCCCGGAACAGACAGACAAAGTCTCGGAACACAGCTCAACGCACTAAATGATTAACGGGCTGTTTCCAGGGAAGAAACATCAATTTCCTAGAGCTCCGCTTTAGCAGCCACGGGTTCGCCAGCCTTCGCCCGGCTTCTGATTCCCGGCGCCGGGAGACGCCCGTGTCTCGAGGAGCGGGCCCGGCGGCGGGGCCGAAACCGGCTGCATGCAGCAAACTTCGCATCCCCCCTCTCCTTTTTCCTTAGCCCTCCCCTTCGTTCGGCCCGACCCTCCGCGTCGAAGCAGATGAGCTCCACCGTGGTGCTGAACGAGGCGCGCCGGGGGCCCGCCATGCGCGGCCCGGCGCGCGGCCCAGGCGCTCGGCTTCTGGCGCGAGGGAGGCGCGCGCAGCGCTCGGGCCGAAGGGGCTGCGGAGCCCCCCGAGGCCGCCTTGGGCGGTCGTGGCGGTGGGCGCTCGCGTGTCGCATGGCCTTCGCCGCGCTGCCGCCGCCGCGTCGTCTGCTTCGGATACCCGTGGCGGCCTCATCTTTGGCCCGTAAGGCCACGGATGCCATCCAATGCAAGCCTCGGTTCGGATGCTGCGGCGCGTTGGAGAAAGCATCGTGATCGAATCACTTGCTCCTAGGTCCATTATCAGAGAGCTGGCTGGAGCAAGCGCCGGAGTGAAAGAAACTCACACATAGAAATGGCAAGCATCGTCAACACAATGTTGGGCAGAGTCAACTGGGGGCTGCTCTGGGGAGTTATACTCTTACACAACGTGTTGCGAAACACATTGTGGACATGAGAAGGGCACATGTTGATCACGATGATGACGATGCAACTTCGAGGACTGGAAGCAGAGGGCCAGGCGATGGGCTCGGCCCCAGGAGAGGCCGAAAGGACAGCCTCTTGGGCGCGCGCGACGAGACGCTGCTGGGAGCAGCGGGAAAGGTGAAACTGTAGAGCCGAGAGCTGGAGAGATGGATCGACCCTGTGCCGCTGGGAGGGCGGCTGGGAAGGGAGGGCGACACGAGGGATAATCGGGCGCGGCCAAACCGGTCCCTAACACAATATCCCATCCCGTGACGTCATTCTCGCCTTTGGAGCTCCCCTCCGGCCGCATACATACGTCTTGGGGCGAGGCGAGGGGCACGCCACGGAAGGGGATGGTCTGCTAGGGCTCGACTCGTCCGCCCCTTAGATGGGACCAGAGCGTTGGAGGGGCCAGTCCGGGCCAAGCGGAGCCGGCAGAGAAGGACGCTTCAGCGGGGGTTGGAACAAGCATCCTGGGAGGGAAGGGTGGAGACTGGATCAGGAAGCTCGAGACGTGTGGCGAGGGAGCGAGGACTGGTGTGCAAAAGGAGAAAGGAGAAGAGGAAGGAAAGACATACTGCTGCATCGGCCAGCGCGTCTGGGTGCGGGAACGCCGCGCTTTCCCTAAACCGAACCCTGGCGCCCTAACCCGTTAGTCCTAAGCAATTACCCGAACCCTAACATCCGAACCCTAACCCTCACACCCTAGAGCTAAACCATAAGCCTTACACCCCAAACCTGACCCTAGCACCGTAACCCAAACACTAAGCCAAAATCGCTACGGAACCAGGGATTAGGGGACCCCCGCTATTTCAATGATTCGGGGGCCGATGACATGCTGGACCCTCGCTCTTACCGCTGGTCCCAACATGTTCGGGCCCCTGCGCTTCCAGGGTTGTGTCGGGATGAGTCGATACGTTTCTGGCCCTGCTCTGGCGTCGGAGCCTCCTCACGAAGTCCTGCCGCCCACCGCTGCACAGATCTTTTCGTCCGCGTCTGACACGTTGGGTAGTTACCCGTACGACTTGCATTGTCGTCTGCACGATCTCGAGCGTGTAGTCACCGCTCTGCTCCTGCACTTCCCTGATAGAGTGTGACCAAACTGTTAGCCTGGCCGCTGCTGCGATGGTGGCCGCCTCCTGCTGGTTGGTGCGCTGGCACGCCCTGGAACCCCGAGTGGCGCAAGAACTGATTTGCGCCACGGGCAGTTGCTCGTGCTGCCACAAAGACACTTCTCCATGGCTGGCCTGGTGGAGGCCCCGCGGACGGCTGGGCCAAAGTGGCCACGGCCCGATGCCAATCGGTCAGGGGGAGGGGGGTACAGAGGGGAAGGACTGGAGGGAGGGGGGGGGGAGTGAAGGGGAGGAGGGCAGACCACGCTCACCTCGCTGACGACCTGACAGCCCTCCCCATCTGCTCTCGAGGGCTACCCGGGGAGCACAGCAGCTGCTCGCAACCACTCTTTCGGATCGCCTCGGGGCATGGCCTCAGGAGTGGCACCCACGACGGCCCCCACGGGCCGCCCCACTGGCGGAGAGACCGAGGCAGCGGAAGAGCGCCACGGCAGCGGCGCTTCCCGATCCAAGGCCGCGCGCACCCGACACGAAAGCGAAATCGCGTGAGCGGAAATTGGGGGGGGGGGACGGGGCGGAAGGCGAGAGGAGAGCCCCATCTCAGAGGCCCCCAAACAGGCACCCACCCGCCCCGAGGCCCCGGAGGCCAGCGGAGTCGCCCAGAGGGCCCAGAAACCTGCGGGAAGGGCACGGAGCCGAGGTCTGTCCATGCCAGGGCTGGTCCTAGACGTTGTTATCCGTTCTGCTTTCGTTTTACTTTTTCGTTCTGCTCTGCCTAGTTCCCTGTACCCCTCCGCCAAAACGAAAAACAAAGCACAACCGAAGTCCGACGTTTGTCTTCGGTCGGGCGTGTCCCCCCACAGGCGGTGGGATTGGGAGAAAATCTCAAGATAGTCAACAACTACGCAACAAATAGCCAAACAACTCGTTCCCATATTATTTTTTGACTAGGCTTGAATCTTCCTCCTGCAGAAGAACAGGCCCTGGTCCGTGCCCGCCGCTCCGAGCACCGATCTCCCGGGAACCCCCCTGGCCGCGGGAGCAGCCTGCTGGCAATGGTTCAGCAGCGGGTCGAACGCTGCGCTCAGGATGGGGAGGAAATCTACCTGCGACGCCGAGGCTCCCTCGCCCGCGGGAGGGGGGCGGAGACGAGTGAGGAGGGAGGCGAAGGGAAGAGGCGGGGGTGGGGGGTGGGACAGCCATTAGCTTGAAAAACGCCCACCGGGCGTAAAGGTTAACGCTGATGTACTAAAGATCCCCGTGCCCCCAATTTCAATGTTGAAAACGGAGCCGCCTTGGCGGTGAAGATCTGGGAGTTTTTATGCCGATGCTTGCACCCCGACAGTGGCCGCGAACGCAACATTGAAATGGGGGGTCCGGGGGGCGGGCACTTCGCAGTTTCGTTTCTAGATGGGCGTTTTTCACGCAAACAGCATATTCGAAATGATGGCTTTGAACATCATTCAGGAAAGTCCCCACCGCCGTCCCCACTGACAACGTGGTAACACAGGGGGGTCCTGTGGACGTGACCCTGCTTGCGCCGCCAACCGCGAGTTCCCAACAGCCAAAACAATGGCGGCGGGACCATATGGGCGAGACCATGTGCCAACCACCGAAAGACACCCTCAAACAAAGCCATGGCGGCGGGGCCCTGCGCCAACGACCGCAAGACGCCCACGGCCAACTCAATTGGGGCGGGGTCGATGGGACGCAATGGAACCAGTGCCAAACCTAGACAGACGAACCTCATCCTTCATGAAAGTTGGGTCCACTCGACGCAAGCCATGCCCTGTGAATAATCCGCCGACCCTGTCGGCGTTTGGGAAGCGCTGTTCCGTTTGACTCGTCGTCGCCGTCGTAGTCGTGGTCGTGGTCTCCGTCGTCGTCCTCGTCGCCGCAATTCGTCGTCGTCGTCCTCGTCGCCGCCGCCGCGCCCCTTTCCGTGGGCCCGTCGCCTGTCCCCCCTTTTTCGTCGCGCCCTTCTCCTCGAACAACTCAACCACCGCGAAAATCAGCAACGTTGTAGTTGAATTGAAGGGACGCCTCTTTCTTTCGATGCCTTCTCCGCCCGGGGGGGGGTCCTTTGGGGGGGTCCCCAAGGGGGGCCCGGTTCAGAATACCATCCTGGGAGGGGTCCCGACGGACTCCAAGGGGGGGGGGTCCTGGGTCAGAATATCATTGTCCCTGGCGCCGTCGTCGTCCACTCGCCGCCGTCGCCGTCGCTGGCGTCTCATTCTGGCCTCCCTGGACACCTCCGCCTGCCTCTTTCATCATGAGGGTCGTCCTCCAAGGTCGGCGGCACCGGCCGTAAGGCCTTAGCAATAGACGCACGCGTATGCTCATACATGTATATATTTGTATATAGATACATATATATATATGTAGATTAAAACGTGCACATCCGTACATATATATATACAAATGTCAGCTAGCGTGGAGTCCAAATCGTGAGCTCTTGTAGCCTATGCGGGGAAGTCTAAATGGGGCAATCAATGCGGTGCAATCTGCGTGGTGCACTCCTCGCGGGGGAATGTAGGTTGTACAACCAATGTGGTGCATTCTACGTGGGGCACCCCATGTGGAGTAACCTAGGTGGTGCAATAAGGTAGTGCGCTATATGAGGTGCAAATCAATGTGGCCACATCTAGCTGTCTGTCAGCAGTACGCACTACCGAAACAGAAACTTGAGCCCGGCTGTGGTGGGGCTCGGGGTGACGAAGGAGGCAGCAGCAGCATACTCATATGATGAAGATGTTCATGGCGTTGCGTGTGCGCACCAGCTCCACTCTTCCGCCACGCGTAAGCGGGCTCTGCCGCTTGACGCAGATGTCAGGTCCGGCGGAGCCTTCGAAAACAGGGCTGGGAGGGAATTTGCCCCTAGGGTGGGCCAGCTTGACCCCGAGGAGCTTGATGGGGAGAGAAGAGAATAAAGCCCCCGCGTCGTGGGGTCCCAGAAAACCAAACGTTTTAAGCTAAAGCCAAACAGCGAGGCCGTCTGAATCAGCAGTACGCACTACCGAAACAGAAACTTGAGCCCGACTGTGGTGGGGCTCCAGGTGAGGAAAAAGGCAGCAGCAGTAGACTCAGATGATGAAGATGTTCATCGCGCTGCGTGTGCGCACCAGCTCCACTCTTCCGCCGCGCGTAAGCGGGCTCTGCCGCCACCTCTGGTTGTGGGAGCCACTCGCACGGCCGCCCCCGCGACGGCCCTGTCCGGGCTCGACAAACACCTGGGCCTCCGCCATCGGGAACTAGGCGGGCCCTGGAGACGCCGGGCGAGCGTAGTCGCCCCGGCGTCTGCCGCCTGCGTCCGGCGCCCGCGGGCGCCCCGCGCGGGCCGCGGAGTGACGCGGGCGGGCGTGGCCGATTAGCGGCCGGCCACGCCGTCCGGAGGGTTGCCGCCCTCCCTCGCTGCTGAACCCAGCCGCGGACGGGCGGCAGCGTGGGCCCCCGCGCGGCGCCGGCTGCCTTCAGGCGCGCGGCCGCCGCCGCCCAAGCACCAGCTGCCCTGGGTGTACACTAACCGCGGCACTTGAAACGCAGCGCCCGGCGCGGTCTCCGCTCGCCCGGCCGAGGCCGGCGGCGGACCCCCTTTCTACCTCGCTGCTCGCCAGGCCCCGTGGCTGGCGGCGCTGCTGAGCTCGCCAGGCCGAAGCCGGCGGCTGGGCCCCCTTCCACCTCTTCGCTCGCCAGGCCTCGCGGCCGGCGGCGCTGCTGGTCAATCGCGATGCTGCTTGTCAGCCACCGCGCGCGAGACCTCATCCCAGCGCTGGGGCCCCTGGTTCTTGTAGAGGTAGCGCGCGCCGTTGAAGTGAACCGAGCCCTGCGCCCCAGTGTCGCAGTAGAGTGCCCGGGGCTTCCTGGGTGGCTTCGGCTTGCTCGCGGCTGCCTCCCCCCGCGCCTCGCGCGGGCCCTCGAGCTACCCGCCCGGCCGCGCGCTGCGACAGCAGTGCCAGGCCAGCGCCAGGGTCGCGCCCAGCGCCGCCGCCAGGAGAACGATCACCTTCGCCGCGGTCAACTGGGGGGTCGCGATGAATGACAACGCCCCTCCTGCCCTCGCTCAGGCGCAGGCTGATGCACCCCTCGTCCTTCTTCATCCTCGATAGCTCCTGACCGGCCGCTGCTGCGTGCCCCGGCGTGACTGTCGCCGCGGCTGCCCTGCCCGGGGCGGAGAGGCCCCCCGAGGCAGCTCGCCCGGCGCTGGTGCCAGCGGCTCTCTCCTGGGGCCTCGCGGCTGGGGTCGTCAGCTCCGAGCGGTCGTTGGCCATGCGTCGGGCCACGTCCTGCTGCGGTTCATGCGACTCCCAGAGATAGGCGTGGAACGAATCCGACGCCCATCTGCCGCGCCGCTGGACCTTGGCAATGTCGTCCGTGACATGGTACTTCGCTGTGGCCCCGCCGATGCTCAGCGAATGAGAACCGATCTCCTCTCGCTTGAGGCCCGGCGCGAGACCTGCCGGCGCGAGGGCATGCTGCGCCTCCTCGCGCTTCGCCGGCGCGCCCGAGGCCCGCCGGAACAGGGGCAGCAGCCTCTGCGCCGTGGTCGAGGCGCTGCGGGCGCTGCGCCTGCATGGCTGCGAGCGCCGTGATCGGGCACAACGGCGACTGGGTGGCGTACTGTTTACGCGCGGCTCCCGCGTTGTACTGGTCCGTCTTCGATCCCTTGATGCGTAAGATATCGTCTGCGTGAGCAAACGAGCCGACTCGTTCACCGCTACAGCGGATTGCTCGTCGTGCGGATCTTGGGGCCCAGGAGGTTGCCTCCTTGGTTGTCCAGCCAGCCCGCGCCCAGGTCCTTGTCCGAGAAGTGCTTGACTCCGTGGGCCACGCGCCGCACTGGCGGCAAACTAATGCTCGCCAGGCAATGCGCCAGTGGGCCGCGCCCAGCTACCAGCGCCCCCATGCTGCTGCATGGGGGCGCCCCCATGCTCGGAGCATTAGAAGTCGAACGCGGTCAGCGTGTAGCCGAGCTGGTTGAGAGAGCGTTCGGGCCTCTGGACGGACAGTCCCGCCGGCGTGCCCATGACGACCACGTCGGGGCGGTCCTGGCCCACTTGGACAAGGAGCGCCTCCGCTTCGAAGCCTCTGGGGTCCATCGTCAGGGGCGTCAGCGCCCAGGCGGCTGCCTGCCCCTGATCGGCTTCACGCCCCGCTAGTTTGACGAAGGCGTCGCGATATCCTTGGAGGAGGCCGCCCAGCTCGACGCCGATCTGGCCCGCCAAGGGGAGGCTGGCCCAGGGTGCAGTGGGCGTCCGGAGCGCGCGGCGCCGCAGTGCTGACTCGGCCAGCGGCCCCGTCTCGCCTGGGATCCGCAGGTGCCGGTCCTGGGCATCCGCGACGATCGAGCCCCAGGCAGCGGGCGGCTCCAGGCGATGCCAGCCAACTCTCGCGAGCAGCCAGTCTGCCACCGTTGAGCGGTCCCGATCGATCTCCCCCGTCTAGGGGCTTCGGACGAAAAAATTCAGAATGCAAAAATCGGCGGTCCAAGAATCAGGAACCAATATGTTTCTGGTATTAATTGTATCTGATTCAAGTACCGGGAAGTTACCAGGAAATTACCGGCACAGAGATATATGTCGCGGAAATCGCGCGCGGGGCGCGCGTTTTGCCCCCCATGGAAGTTCCCGGGGAGTTGCCGCGCAGACATAGACGTGAAATTAATGTTTGCATTTCTGCAAATGGAATTTCTCAATGCTGAATTTCTTTTTCTTTTCCAGTTTAGAAGGGCCTCGGGGCGATAGCTCGGGCCCATTCAGGGCATGCGCGCGCGTGCAACGACGTGATCACGTAGCCGCACTCGGCCTCGAGTCGCTCGATCACGCGCAGCAGGTGGCGCGCCGGGGCGTTCTTGGGCCGGCGCTTCGCCGGCCAGGACTTCGCGTTCGCGTTGTCCGTGACGTAGAAGACGAGCTCGCTTGCCCACAGGTGTCCCCTGCAGGCCGCCACTGCCGCCAGCGCTAGGAGCTCCAAGATAGAAATGAAACGGTCGCGCTCCGAGCTCGGCCCGACCACAGCGTCGCTGAGCTGCAACGGCTTCGCCTCCGTCGCGAGGTACGAGAGCGGGCCGGCAGCGGCGACGTCTCTAGCGCGGCCCCAGTCCACTTCCCCGATCGCATCCAGGGTCGCATCCCCTCTCCTGTCCAACGGGGGCGGCATGCCACCCCCGGCAGGGCCATCTGCTCGCGGGGAGTCAGCGCCTGGCTGAATCCCGCCTGGAAGGAGGTGCTCCAGGCCTCGGGCGCGTCGAACATCACCGTGAAAAGTTTCGGCGTGCGGTCCCACTCCTCCCAGGCTGCTGCCGCGGCGTCCGGGCCGCCCTTGGGGGCCGCCCAGGGAGACCCCCCGGCGAGGTGCCCCAGGAGCTTGGCGAGCACGGGGGGTCTCTGGGCGCATCGCGGTCTGTGCCGAGCTCCTGTGCTGCGCGCATCCCCTCAGCTTCTGGACCAGGCTCGTCCGGATACGGCGCGCTCCGTGGGCCAACTTTGGCCAGGCGAGCAGGTGCTGTGCTTTGTGCATTTCTGTTCGGGGAGGCGCGTGGTCCTCTTGCTGAAGTTCATGTGCAGCCCCCGCGCCAGCTGCTCGGGAGCGGACTCGCCCTCCTCGGCGAGCTTGTCGGCGTTGACCGCCTGGGCCCCCCAGACGCTTGGGCCGTCTGGGAATAGTTTTGGGGGCCTCTTGGACGGTGCTTTAGCGTCGGAAACACGAAACAGCGAGAATGCAAAAAAACATTTAAAAATAATGACAATCAGCGATTTTGCCCTCTCGGGGCGCTCTTGGGCGGCATCCTGAAGGCCTCTTGGGGCATCTTGGGGGCCTCCGGGGCAGTTTAGAACGCATCGTGCGACCTCTTGGGGGCCTCCTGGGGCCTCTTGGGGGCTTCCTCGGGGTCTCTTGGGGCCTCTTGAGGGCATCTTGGGGCGGAGAGTTTGATTTTTCAGTTCGCTTTCCCTCTCTTGGGCCCCTCTTGGGGCCTTGTTGGGGTCCCCTTGCGCCGTCTTGGGCGGCTCGGGGGCCGTCTCGGGGCTCTCTTTCTTGGGCCGTCTTGGGGCCCTCTTGGGGGCCTCTTGGGCCGTCTGGGAGCGGTTTTGGGAACCTCTTTAACGCCAGAAGCACGAAACAGCGATTTTGCCCTCTCGGGGCGCTCTTGGGCGGTATCCTAAAAGCCTCTCGGGGCGTCTTGGGGGCCTCTGGAGCAATTTTAAACGCATCGTGCGTCGCCAGAGACCCCTGGGCGGCGTCTTGGGAATGTCTCGAGACCGTCTGGGGCCGCCGGGAATGCCGTCTGAGGGCCCCCTGGGGCGATTTTAGGCCTCCCAAAGGCTGGCTGGCGCGCCGGGTCCCACATTTGCGGTCGCGGGGTCCCGGCCCCCGGCCCCCGGACCGGGTCCCCCGTAATGTATGTATGTATGTATGTATGTATGTATGTATGTATGTATGTATGTATGTTTGTTTGTTTGTTTGTATGTATGTGTGTATACATACATACATACATACAAACATACATACATATGTATGTTCAAATCGCGCCGAGAGCAACGTCGCAAAACAGTCGGAACTTCTTTGAATCAACCGTGCTCTCCAAACCTCCCCGCTGCCCGCCGCCGTATTCTTCCGCCCAGGAGGCAATTGCAAAAATCGCTGACCTCCCTCTCCTCTGCCGGCACCGGCGCCATCTCATTGTAAATGGGCAGCACCTGTGGGCGGAGGAGATGGCAGGGAAGGGGTACGTGGGCGAGGAGTTTTCAGCTCGGGCGAAGCAACGGATGATATCGGGCGAAGCAACGGATGATATCATCGCCATCATCAGACCGTCGTCGTCAACGATGTCGTTCGTCGGCGTCGCCGCCATCACCATGAACTCACAAAACCATCGCCATCGCCATCGACGTCCCACTCATTCGCGGCTACAACTGGCAATAATGCGCCTGCCGTTCATACTGAACGCCGTGCCTGATTTTGCAATGCGCCCACCCAAGAGGAAACTTTTACCCTCTTTTTTCAATGTGCGACCTTGTAAACTTCAAAACACCGCGTTGCATAACCGAACAACGCACGAACAGACATTGGAGGCGGAAGCAAAGAACGAGCGCAGACCAAATCCAAGGCCAGCGTCCTTCTCGTCTTTCCGTACTACTGATTAATCATTCGTTCTAGTAATTCCTCGTGATCCTGCTCCTGCTTCCATTGGTCGAAACCCGAGATCAGCTTCGGAATCAATCCAGGAAGCCCTGCCTGCACCAACACTGTTGCCGCCTCCGGTGCTGTCAAAACCGCCGCTCCCTGCCACACAGGCTGCTCGCCCCAAATATAAGTCCACGCTGACAGCCACCTCTTGGGGTACGCTGACAGCTCCAATGGGGGTCATTGACGGCCCCACAGGTGTACACTGACGGCCCACAGCGGGGTACACTGAGGCCCCCTGAGGGCTAGCCCCTAGGGGTCAACTGACGGCCCTGCAAGCCCCTAGGGGTCAACTGACCGTCTGGCGAGGTCCAGCCCAGACTTCCGGTGACTCGAGTTGTTTTTGTTGTTCGAGTTGTCGGCCCTGATTGGAAATCCAAGCCCCCCTTCGGTTTTTAGGTCAGTGTGTTTGATCATCTGGCGGGTCAGAAGCAGCCCTCGCATGCTGAGCATGTGCCAGAAGCCTCCGCAGAACTTTTTTCCGAGTCGCCGGAAGTCACCAAGCACCTCCCGGGGCCACTCGAGGCTCCCGGGGGCGTCCAGACCAGACGACCCCGAAGCCGCCGGTGTCCCCGAAGAGCACCCAGCCCTGCGAGACTCTGCTGCAGGGCCCACCGGCAGCGGCCTCAGCCAGGAGGCCCACCGGGCGCGGGTGGAGGGGGGCCCAGCGCGCCTCGCTGAGGGTGTTCACGGCCTGCTCTCGCGCGCGTGCGCGCGCCAACTCCGGCTGCGCCCGCCGGACGGGGCCCTCCTGCCTCTCCTCCTCCTCCTCCTCCTTCTCCTCCTCCTCCTCCTCCTCGTCCGACCTCGTCCTCGCCCCCTCCTCCTCCTCCTCGTCCGACCTCGTCCTCGCCCTCGTCCTCGTCGTCGTCGTCCTCCTCCTCCTCCTCCTCCTCCTCCTCCTCGGAGTCGGATGACGCAAGGCTCGGCGATGGGGGGCGGATCCAGGCGATTGCAGACAGCGGCAGCGAGACTTGATTATGGCGCCCCTCCGAAAACTACTCTAAACTTCTTCTTGACCAACGGGGGGAGATAAATATGAAAACGCGGCGCGGCTAATCCCCCCTGGCACGCAACGACCAACTCCAACCCCCAACGCCATCCCCGCGGACACGCCACGGCCAACCCCCCCCCCCCCGGTATTCCAAGGGGGGGGGGCGATTATCAAAATATTCAGAGTAAGCACAGCAGCGGGCCAAAGCGATTGCGCCAAGGCCCATGCGATTGCGCTGGGCCCAGGCGATTGGGCCTTTTGGGACACATTCTTGATCGGAACCGGAAGGGGGAAGGAGGGCGGGAGGAGGGCGAAAGAGAGAAACCCAAACCAATTCGGGGAAACCCGCGGCCACTCCCCCGGCCACAAGAAGCGGGGGGCGCCCAAGACGGAAAGTGCGCCGCTTACATGTCAAGCATGTCTAGGCAGCCAAGCGCGCCCTTTCTTGCAACAGCGGAATACATATTATCAGAAGAATGGTGTGGTTTTCTGACTTCCAGGGTAATTCAACTTCTCCCCAAGCTTTTCTGGATACGACAACGCCATTTTCGTCATCAAAGCGGTACTTGATACATGGAGAGCGTGCTCGACCCAGCCTGCGTCGCATCTGACAAGACCTGCAGTCCATGTACCAACTCCCAGATTTACGCCCATCTCTTGTTGTGTGCTTCCAGAAAGCAAGAGGCCGCGGTGGTTCGCTGGAGGCCGCAGGCGTCTTCCATACCATGTGAGGTCCAATCCTTCAGCGAAGCGAGTCAGGTACCCGCCGGCCCCTCTCTGCGTGTGGGACGGCTGCCCCTCTCCAAACCCGTACGCCAGGAGCCTGGTCCAGTCAACTTGGAGGGGGGGGAGGTGCTGGTGGACTGTCGTGGTCCTGGAAGATCGCAAGCCCAAGCGCGCGAAAATCACAGGAGGAAACTTCCTGATGGTTCACAAACCCCACGGGAGCGTCCACGATAGGTCCAACAGGGCCCCAGATGGCCTCAACGCAGCTCCAAGGGATCCTAAGACGGATCAGTATAGCCCCAGGAGGACCCGCAAGACGCAATTTTTCGTTGATTCGCTTTTGGTTTTTCTGTATGGACGACGTGCTGTTGTTTAGATCTTGAGAGCGCCTGAGACGACCCAAGAGGCCCCAAACATCGCCCCAATGCGAGTTTGAAAGAACCCGAGAGGGCCCAAGGATTACCCCAAAGGGCCTCAGAGAGACCTCCGAGACGCCCCCGTGCGGGCCCCAGGAGGAGCCCGATAGGGAGGAACTGCGTGGGCCCCCAAGAGCCCTCCCTCCACGACAAGCTGCCCCCGAGACCCTCGACATGCCCCCACGAGAGGCCCAAGCCCTGCAGGCCTCTGGGGGGCGGAGCCCGCCCCGACGGAGGACTCCAATCCTCTGCTGAGCGGAGCGGCTGCGGCACGGACGCTGCCAGGGCGCGCGGGTCCCCGCGCGCGCCGCCCCGTCGCGCGGCCTCGGCGGGCAGCGCGCTCGCCCTCGGAGGCCTCTCGACGGCCGCGACGGCGTCGTCGCAGTGCATCGCGCTGGTGCGCTGGGGCGGATCCAGATCGCAATCGGCCCAAGTCGCGCCTCGGCGCTCGCCTCATCCTTGAGTTCACGCGGGCATCGCCTGGAACCTCGGCTGCGCCGGGTCGCGACGGCGGGTGCGCTGGGGCCGGTTGCTCTTGCTCCGCCGCAGAATGCGCGAGAGACGCTCCTCATTCTGCTGGTGGGTTTTGGTCTTGATGCTGTCAGGGCGGGCGGTCGCCAGCTCGAGCTTCGTCTCCTTCTGTGTGGACGTGGCTCGCTGCCCACTGGCGCGGCAAACAGATTGCGCCGACGCGACCAGCAGAGGCGCCATGATCATCGCGAGGAGGGCCGTCATCATCTTCCAAAGGATGTCATTCTCGAGCTCCGCCACACAACGCGTCGCACATCCCTCGTTCGCCTCGACTGCTCAGGCTGGCCCCCGCGGCTTCTCTTCGCGCCAGTGCCGCTGCCACTGGCGGGAATCAACGTCCGGTTGTTGCGCGGCGCCGCTGGGGGATCTGCCGCGATCGCCGCCGCCGCGCGCAGCTCGTGCAGGTCGAGTTCGCCGCGGCCCGCCATGCAGTGCAGGGTCAGCAGCTTGAAGAAACCTCGGGATGGGCTTTGGCGCCCAGGTCGCTCGGCTCCTGCTCGCCGCTGCGCTCCTTGATGCGCGGGCCGTTGTGCCGCTCAGGCTGCGCTCGCAGCGCGCGCGCGTCGATGTCCTTTGCGCCGCCAATGCCGTCGCGCGGCAGCATGCCCTTGGGCCCTTGGCTGCCACGCTGGCCGCGGGCAGGGTGCGCGTCACCTCGCGGCCCAACCGCTCGAACAGATGCCGGGCCGCCTCGCCTTCTGGGACCGCGCTGCCCGCGCCGCAGAACGCTGCCTCGCCGCCGGATGCGCCCTCGACTCCTCGGCGCCGAGCAGCTGTGCGGCGCGCTGTCCACAGGGGCCGGAACCTCGCGCCGCCGCCTTCTTCGACGGGTCGTCGGAGGCCTAGCTCGTGTGCGCGTAGCGGTCGCGCGTGGATCTTGCCTGGGCGCGCTGGGTCGCGGATCACCTTGGTCGCGCGCCGCCGGTCGACGAGCCGCGGGTCCCAGATCCTCCTCGCCAGGGGCCCGGCGCCCCACTTCGCGTCCCAGCGGCTGGCCGCGAGGTGTCGTGGGGTGCCCGCTCCGCGTCGGCAGCGGGCCGCGTCCTCCTCGTCGAGCTTGTCCGCGTCTTGATTCTCCTCGTCACCGCAAAAGTCATTACGAATGACATATGACGCTTTGGCACTCCTAGCGTTCTTCATGTCGCGCAGGTCGAGCAGTGTGTCCACGTGCTTCGGTGGCCGCGGATCAGGCCCACCCACTCGAGGGAGAAGAAGCCTGGTCTCGGGGCGCTACTCCGCACACGAGAAGAAACCTCATCCTCCTCCTGTTGTTCCTCCTGCTCTTCCCTCCTCCTCTCCTCTCCCTCCTTATCCCCCTCCACGAGAGGAGGCGCTGTGGGTCCACTTTGTGCAGCCTGGATCGTCCGTTCGCGCAACCGGTCATGGGCCGACCGAGCCCGCCTGCGCGTCCGCCCGCCTCCGCCTCGACACACGGTCGGTTTGGCCACCCCAAGGAGGAGGAGGAGGCAGAAGAAGAGGGCGAGGACTGAGAAGGTACAATAGTAAGGCGGAGATTGGAAAGACAGAGGGATCAGGACGTAGAAGGAGGATGAGGAAGCAGGATCTCAAACTGTTTTGCCAAGCGCCCCGCCGCCACTCCAAGCCAACAGCGGGATGTCCGCTGCTCCTCTGCTCTTTCCCATCGGTTCCCCTCTGCGCTCCCCATGATTCCCTCTCCCACAACTCCTCCTGCTCTGCGCTGAGGGCAGACACCCTACGTGCACACCGCAAGCCACACTGAATCCCACCGAGCCCGCTGCACACTCACTGCAACCTGTCAACTTGCTGACAGTCCGCGGCGCCGTCTGTCAGCTCGAGGAGAAGCAGGAGGCAATGCGGGAAAGCAGGAGACGCAGCGCCCAAAAGACTCGATCATCTTCGAAGCGCCGTGCACCAAGGGACGACCAGACTTCGCTGGGACCTGAAGCGGTTCGTATTATTAGGCTAGCCTCGCGGCCGAAAATATTGCCACGCGGGCGCCGAGTGCAGCCAGGAAGATGGCCAACGTACGCCGCCGTGGCGGGGGGGAGCTTGGCATCAGGGGCCCCAGATAGTCCAAGGAGCTAGCGCGAGACCAGACACCCAGGACTGTCGCTGGCTGCAGCTGAGCAGGCTGGGCCAAACGCAGCCCGAGGAGGTTGCGGCCCGGCCGGCTGCCTGGCATGTCGGCACGAAGGGAAAAATGTGCCAGACGCAGCCCGAGGAGGTTGCTGTCCGGCCGGCTGCTTGGCATGGCGGCACGAAGGGCAAAATAAAGGAGTGGAACGCGAACCGACATCTCGAGCCCTCCGCCCCAAGACGAGCCCGAGACCGCCAACAGGCCCCCAAGAGGCCTCCCAGAAGCCCCAGGAGGCCCCCGAGAGGCCCAAGTAAAAAAGCCCCCAAGAGGCCCAGGCGAGGCCCCCGAACAATCCAAAACCGCCTCCACGAGGACGCCATGAGCACGTATGCTCATCGTCCGCCGACCCCCGCCGAGTTTTCGGGTCGTGGGCCGGCTCCCTCCCGCACCCTCTCCCCCAGGAGCCCGCCCCGACCAACTTGGAACAAAGGAGGCCCCAGCGACGTCCTCGACGGACTCATTTGATCCAGAGGGGCTCCACGAGGGTGACCTCCACAAGGACTCCAGACCATCGAAAACTTTCCCGTTGTCCTCGTCGTCCTCTTCCTCCGCCTCCTTCTCACTCTCACCGTCGTCATCGTCGTCGTTGTCGTCGTCCGCGTCAACCTCTTCCTCCTTCTCCATAACTATCAGGGGGTCGGCGGAATGGCGTAATCCTCTTAGAGTCTTGAAAATCGGGAGCACAGCCCGCGCTGAAGCGAGAACAACAATCGCAATCATGCGCGCGGCCAGCGCCCAGGACCTGGGCGAAAACAGCATTCCGAGTCGAGAGAGCGGCCCGCGTTGAGACGAGAACAATTATCGCAATCATGCGTGCGGCCGGCGCCTAGGCGGAAGCAGCATTTTCAATCACATGTGGCCAGTGCCGCAGCGAGAACGACATGCTCAATGAAAGAAAGATGTGGCCGGCGCCTGGGCGACAGCGACATTGTTCATCAGACATGTGAGCGGCGCCATAGAGAAAACGACATGCTCAATGAAAGATATGGCTAACACCTGGGAGACAGTAGCATTTTCCGTCAGACATGGGAAAGGCGCCACAGCGAGAACGACATGCTCAATGAAGGATGTCGTCGGCCCCGAGGCAACAATAACATTTTCAATGAGACGTGCGGCCTGCGCCAAGGCGAGAACGACATTCTGAATGAAGGATGTCGTCGGCGCCTCGGCGACAACCACATTTTCAAGTCAAGATCTGGCCAGCGCCAAAGCGAGAAGGACACGGTCAATGAAGGATGCCGCCAGCGCCTAGGCGACAGCCGTGACATTCTCAATGAAGGACGTCGTTGGCGCCTCAGCGGCAGCCGCATTTTCAATCAGAGAAGTGGCCCACGCAGAGGCGGAAACAACGCGCTCAATGAAGAATGTCGCCGGCGCCTAGGCGGCAACAACATTTTTAATCAGAGATATGGCCCACGCACAAGCCGGAGCATCATTCCGAGGCAAGCGTGTCGCCAGAACGCAGGTGTCACGCCGCTTCCTCGCGGGCCAGGCTCGGTGTCACCGTGGTCTGGGCTACGTTAGGTAGGTAGTCCACGTTAGGGGGGTTGTAATGTATAAATGCAATGTTCGGCATCGGGGATGCTGGATAGATCGAACATCAACGTCATCTTTCGCATGGAGTGTGCGTGGGTCAAGTACCACGACAACCAGACGATCCTGACCAACAATAATATTGATGTCAAATTGCGGCTGCGTCTTTTCGAAAACGTGGTCTCGCCTACAGTCGCATACGGGTTAGCTACGTGCGCGCTGACACAGCAACAACGCATGAAGATTGCCGCTGCGAGATCAGCCATGCTGCGCAAAGTCGTGGGCTTCTGGAAACGGCCAGATGAGGATTGGGAAGGCGCCGCAAGACGGTGCAAAAACGTCTCCAGAGCGCGCTGTCGCAGCACCCCGTTTCCGATTGGTTGCAGGTTGTTGGCAGACTCCAATGGCGCCTCGTTCACAAGACCTTTCAAGACGATTTAGCGTGGCCGATGACGGTGATGAAATGGATCCCTCTCTCAGGCCAGCGGTCCCGGGGACGCCCGATGACAAGGTGGACAGATAACGTGAAGAAGTATCTGAATAGTAAACACGCCACGTCGCTATCAAAAGTATTTCATGGCGCACGAGTGTTCGACTGCCTTGGCAAGTTTTGAGGACGACTTCTTGGATTTCTGGAACTCGCAGTAGCCTGCCTGCAGTTTTCATGTCTCAGATGGGTGTGTCTCATTGCAAGATGTCCATCGCCGTCTCCACTTGTGCAGCGCGTGCGGCCTCCGCGCGCGATCGGACCTATCCTTGCCTTGCCTTGCCTTGCATCGGGGGACATATATTGTCACGCGGATCGTGCCCCTGAGGGAGCTCCACCTGCGGCCCCAGAAACAGGCTTGAGTTAGCGCCCCCCGCCCATGTCGGCACACCTCACAGGGATCGCGCCCCACAGGGAACTCCACCTACGCCCCCAGAGACAACGTTCGCAGAGTGGCATGCCCCTCACGCGAATCGTGCCCCGCAAGAAATTCATCTGTGGCACCAAAGGGAAACTTCGTAGCGTCGCCCCGCACACTTAGGCACGTCAAACTCGCGTATCATCACCAAACTCATCATCATCATCCGCCTCATCTTCAAGTGGATCATCAGCATCATCCTTGTCCCCATCATCATCCGAATCATCATCTTCATTCTCACTCCCATCACCATCTTCATCAACACCGCTACGCGCATCGTGCACATCGTCACTGTCATCGTCTTACTAACATCATCTTCAACATCTCCGGAATGAATATCAACATCGTCACCGTCGTCGTCGTCGGCCCAATGTTCCTTGGGAGGCCTCCCCGAACATCCAGCTGACTGCGCGCCTTGGGGGGCCTTTTGGAAGCGTTTGGCGGGGGGGGGTGTTTCTGGTATTTGTTGGAATTCTCTCTCTCTCTCTCTCGGGGACTTCTTTTGTCGTTTCGGGAGCTCCTTGGGCCGTCTGAAGGGCATCTGGAGGCCTGAAAGGCCAGCCCATCCAGAGCGAAAAGGCGAGTTCATCAGAACCTGTAGTTTCCCAATGGTTATTGAATGCTCAAAACGTCCTGTCGGACTTGGAGGCCTCTTGGAGCTGCCACAAAGCCTCGAAGGGGTCTCGCGTGATCACCAGGTGTGCGGAAGACGGCGGGGGGCGCGGTCGCCTCGGCGACGAAGGGCGGCACCGCCAGCTCCGACACGTAGACGCCCACGACGCCCTCTCGGGAGCTCTGCGTGGCCAGAGACAGGCATACATATATATAGAGAGAGAGACATGCCGATATATGTATATATATATATATGTATACATATGTATATATGTATATGATCCTGGGCGGTCTTACCGAAACATCAGGAGGAAGGCACGCGTGTCTTCTCCGGCGAGGGCGCCGCGCGAGTGGCTGCCAGCGCGCCGTGGGCCACACGCGCCCCCGAGCAAGGCCGGCTGCGGGCAGCTGCGGCGGGGGGTATCGGCCAGCCGGTGCGGGATGTTCCGGGGGTGCGGGAATTTAAGAAGGGCAGAAAAGCCGCCCCGACAAGAACCACCCCGACACGCGAGGCCGCTTAGCGAGCGCGCCCAAAGAATACGGAATCGAAGATGGCAAAACTGCTCAATAAACGGCCAGGGCCGTTCAATAAACGCCAATTGTCCGGTATGGGTGGTTTTTTCCTCCATTGAGGAGAGAGAGAGAGAGAGAGAGAGATGTAACGTTTGGACCTCGCCGCATCGCAGTCTGAGCAAGCTTCCAGGAGCCCTCCGAGAATGTCCGACAGCCCCGAGGCTGCTCTCGGGGCAAGCGGCGACCCAGAGAGCGGAAGCATCGTCCTCCGCCAGGGCCCGAGGCCAGGGGCCCATTCGGGTCCAAGCTCAAGATGCTGCCGTCCCCCACGGGAAGGCAGCAGTGGCTACTTGAGATGCGGGCAGCGGCTGGCGGACCCCCGCAGGGCCCAGCACCGCACACCGCGTACCGCCGTTGAGGTGGGAGCGGGGAACTCGCTATGCGAATCTGCCGCACGCCCGAGCCTGCGAGGCAGGTCGTGGCTCGCCACGTGCCCCTCCGTTCCCGTCCGACTCCGGGAGATCAAGACGGGACCTGGGCTTACACGATCGCAAAGCAGTACAGTGCACCTCACTGAGAGCTCGTCATGGTACGAATGTTTGACCAGGCCTTATGGGTTCGAACCAGGCTGGCCGAAGTCCAAGGGTGCTCCGAGGCCAGTGCCAGCAAATGGCCTCCCTGGCACAATACATCCACGGTGCCGCTCTGCCAGCCCGTGTCGCCAGCAGCGCCCTCTGGTTGGCAAGCTGCCGAGTGCGCATGCGTCGAAACCTCTGGCCGTTTGACTGGGGCAATTCAAACCGTGCAAACGGGCATGCGTGAGAGGCAAGAGGGGGAATGGGCATGAAATCCACGAGAACACCAACAGCCCTCTGGGTGGTCTTTGGGTATTTCCTCTTCCGACCCCCTTCTTACCACTCGAGGAGGGGTTTGTCACTGCTCCTCCTTCTGACCCAACCCATGCTTGCACTGAAGGGGTCCTAGCAGATGCTGCAAACATGGAATTACATTGCGGCCCGATTTCGGTTGACTGCCAAATTCCAAAAATCCACATTCTGGGTTCTGGGCCGATTTCGGTGGGCGGCTGGGTTCCGGGCTTTTTGGTTCCAGGCCGATTTCGCTGCGCGGCCGGGTTCCTGGTTCCGGGTTCGCCAGCCAGGATCTCGTCAACATGGCTTCACATGGGTCTTTGCGACCACGGTCAGGATGAGAGATTCCATCGTACAGGCCAGGAAGCACATGTCAGAGAGTGGGGGACAGATTTGAACAGACGTGATGGAACGTATGTAGAAATAGTACGAGTACACACCATATCTAATTGGGAGCGCCAATATAAGACATCGATCCCTCGCATGTGCACACATACGCATCTGATACATATATATACACACAAGGACGGACATGCATATACAGACAGAAACAGAGAGAGAGAAGGAGAGATAAAGAGAGAGAGAGAGAGAGAGGGATGGACATCTACACCAATCCACATATATAGCTATACATACATATATAGAGAGAGAGAGAGAGAGAGAGAGAGAAAAAAAACGATACACATATACAGACACACACATATATATATATATAATGTATATATATATAGAGAGAGAGCGATATATATATATATATATAGGTGTGCATATATATACATATACATATATGTCGAGAGAGAGAGAGAGAGAGAGAGAGAGAGAGAGAGAGAGAAAGAGAGAGAGAGCGAAAGAGATAGAGCGAGAGAGAGAGAGAGAGAGAGAGAAATACATAACGAGAGAGAGAGAGAGAACATCAGAAAAAAAGGGAAAGAGAGAACACAACAAACAAACGACAGGTTGACAACACGATATCAGTCGATCACATACAAGCCGACTTTCAATACATGCGTGTGCAAAGTATGTTAACCATCGTGGGCAGCATCCATTTATAAAAAACGGGTGTGGAACATGTGTTGTGTAATATGTGTGGCGCAATCGACGTCGTGCAATCTATGTGGCCCAATTTATGCCGTGCAATGTATGGTGTGAGATCTGTAGTGCGCACCAGATGTGCTGAGATACGCGTAGCATACGAATTATGCGATGCAGTCCGCCCCGCCGAACTTGAACATGCCGACGCCACTGCTCGCGCATTCGACCCACCCGCCCACCACCCGCAGCTTGGTTTGTGAAACCCCCGCGCTGGTGATTGCGATGGCTGCTTGGCTTGGCATACCGCGGCGGCCGCGCTAGCACTTGGCGGTGCACACGAATGGGTGGAGGGAGGGGGAAGCTTCTTAGAAAGGGGGTTGGGGTTGCTTCTTAGACGGCGGTTGCCTTGCATTTATAAGAGGAGGAGGAGGTTACACCAGGCGCACGACAGAAGCCTGACTCGAGCGATCTCGAGGCTCGTGGCCACTTGCCCGCAGAGGCGCACTACGCAGAGACTACTCGAGAGATCTCGAAACTCGCGGCTACTTGCCCGCAGAGGCGCAGGACACAAGGCTGACTCGAGGGATCTCGAGGCTCGTGGCTGGGCGCCTAGGAGTGTGCCAGCGGCAGCGAGATCCTTGGCCGATCTGGCCAAGAAACCCCACTTGCGCTGGACTTCGCACCGCTCTCCCATGCAAGCACGGCATCCTTTGGAACCGTCCTTGCATGGGAGACACTTGGTGCAAAACTGGGCGGCGGCGCTAGCCTCCTCGTAGGTGGCGTACTTCGGCTCGGCCGCCGTGGGGCCCTTGCAAGGCTTGGACTTGTGCTTGGCCTTGTCCTTGGCCTTGGCCATCGCCGCGTCGTTGCCGCTCGCCTCCTTGAGTTACCTGATAAACTCGTTCCCTCGAGCGACCGCGGCGTGGAGAACTGCCGGCGTTCGGCGGCCCTCGCCTCGGATCTCGCGCAGGGCGCGCTCGATCCAGCGACTTGCCCAGAGGCCGCAGCTCCAACCGTCTACTTGGCACCGTCTGTTGCTCGGTGCTGGGCAGTGCTCGCCAGGGCCAATGGCGCCGAGCTTGCGGAGGATCCTCGCGGCGGCCTTGGGGGGCCACGTGCGAACCCTGCCCGCGATTTCTGAGGAGGAGGAGGGCGGGGTACACTTCGCTCGGCAGCTGCCGAGCAAAGGGAACCCCACCTTCCCTCCTCAGAAATCGTGGGGTGTAGGCGTGAGTTTGCATGTGGCCGTTTTGGGCTTGCTTGGCGTTCTCGGACGGCTGCTTGAGGGCGTCGCGGTAGTCCACCCCGACGCCGCCCCCGTCGATCCTCGTGACCTGGCGGGAATTGCCGCAAGTGCCACCTGCCCAAGGAGCCTCCCCGCTCCAAACCGGAGCGAAACGCTGGGGAGCATTGCAGCAAACGCCGACCTTGAAGTGCACGCAGACCAGTGCGTGCTGGGCCTTGTCGACCCTCTCGGCCAGCGCTTCTGCTTCTCGGGCTTGTGGGCGGCGGGTGCGTCCTCGCCCTGGCCCTCCCGAGCCCAGGCGACGGCCGCCGTGGGCTCGCCCGCCAGCACGTTGCCGGGGGCGCCCACTCGCTCCTCGATCTCGCCCAGCAGCGCGTGCACCGTGCCCGGCTCGAGGGTGTCGCCCTTGACGATCTGTTCGCAGTTCATGATAGCGTACTCCTTGGCGAGCGCGGTGCGGCGAGCGTGTCTTGCCTGGCGCCAATCGAGCTTCTGCGGCTTGGGGAACTTGTGGTCCTGCTCGATCGTGACCCGTGGCGCTCGGGATTCGCAGGCGCTCGTTAGCTTCAGCCTGATTCCGCTTCCCCCTGCTTCCGCCTGCTTCCGCGCTTCGCGTTGCTTCCGCGTGCTTCCGCGGTCCTTCCTTTTCATGTCTGCCAACTTCCGCCTGGTTCCGCCGCCCCGGGCAGAAGCGGGCGGAAGCGAACGAGCGCCTGTGACTCTCGACGCCTCGCTGGTGTTGATCTGGAAGATCGCCGCGGTCTCCGCCTCGAGGACGCGCAGGCGGTGCTCGACGTCCTGAACTCTGCCGCGCCTGCCCTCGCGGTTGCCCTCCTCGGTGACGCGCGCCACCTTGCCGTGCCACGGGGGGCTCCTCGCAAGCCTCGAGGACGCCATTCTGCTTGGCCTTGTCCTGCTTCTTGGCGTTCTTCTCCGCTTGCTTCTTCTGCTTGAACTTCTTGGAGAAGCTCGCGCGCGCCTTCGGCGGCCTGCCTGTGAGCTTCGCCTCGGCCACGCCTCTGCTGAGGTGCTCGAGCGAGGTCTCGCCGCCAGCCCTGGCCTTCTCGCGCTGCCACTTGCAAGCGTGCTTGCCCAGGAACTGGCCCGCGAACTTGGACGCCCACCTGTTCTTGCGTTTATTTGTCCGTTTCAGCTTGATCCTGTTCTCGAGGGCGTGCGGGGACATGATGTCCTTGATCCGCTCCTGTGGCGGTTTGAGCACGTCCTTCTGCTCGTCGTTGAGTTCGAGGCCCAGCTCTCGGAGCTCCAGGAGGCAGGGGTTCTCGTCCTCCTCGTAGTCCCTCGGCAAGTCGTCGTTGTGGAAGCAGTCGCCGTCGAGGGCGCTCCACTCGGGCGCTGGCGGCGCGCCCGCGGGCCAGCCCTGGATGCCCTCGAGGCGCTCTTTCGCCGAGGCTGTCCTCGATGCCGCGGCCGGCCTCGGTGGAGTAGCCCCGCGGCTCCATGCCCGTGACGACCTTGAGCTCGCCTTGCTCTGTCGGCCAGAGCTCGGG